CCCCACACAACTAGTTTACATCAGCTTTTGACAAATGATGGCATTCCTTATGCTAAACTACAAAATAGGAACAGAAAAAGTTCTTTTTTTCAATAATTTAATAAATTTTTTCAAAATGCTGAGCATGCGTTACCCAATCGATGTATAAATAATCAAAATATTTCTTTTAATTCTGCACCTAAAAATGAACCAAAGTATGAACAAAAATAAAAATACTACTTTCATAAAAACTCAGGTAAAACTAAATATTTATCTAGTAATAACTAAAAACTAGAAAACAATCTCAAGTCTAATTAAGACTAAATGAATTTTAAAAAATTGAAATAAAACTAAACTACAATGAAAAATCCAAAACTATTATAACTCTGGCACTAACTGAGTGATTCTGTCTGTGTATTGCAGACGTACACAAGCTCTAACAAGTCTGGGTTTTCCTCAACAATCCCTTTACAAATGCAGTTCACAGTGAAGGACGGACTGTAATGGCTGCTGCAGCTGAAGCTCACATTTACCCAACTGTTCCCTTAGCCTCACAGAGGGTAGCTGAAAAATGTAATTCATTAATTACATTTGCAAAATGTAATTAATTAATTGATTAAGACTGCAGTGCAAAAATTTCATACAATTATTCAGAATTATTACAAAGTTTCCCAATGGAATCGTTTCTGGTACGTCCATAAATCTGACGCACCGCTTCCCTCAGCTGAATGGCTGCGGTGGCAACCTGAATCTATAGGTTAAACAACCTAAATAACAGATTAGAATCAATAAATATCTGAGGTGTTGAGCTCATTTGCATATTCATTCAATAATTTAGAATCAAAAAAGGGTTTTTAAATTGAAAATATTGCTTATTTTGTGGACATATGGTTCTCTAATAAGATATGATTAATTACAGACCCTGTAATTAACTAAAAACAAAATAAATAAAAAAATCAATCGAGTCTCATCACTAATTGAAACAATTATAAACGAGGAGTAAATTTTGGCTGCAATGCTATGAGCAGAAATATCAACAAGTCCTATCAAAATAGAAAATATACTAATATTAGCTTAGCATTTCAGCAACCAGAAGCATTGAAATTTGTATTTGTTGAAGAAACTGTAACTGTAGTTAGATAGAAACAAAGCCATGGCCATGTTAGGTTATGTATAGTCAAGAGATTAAAACAGCTTACTAAAGCATGTTAAGAGAAAAGAATTAAATCTAATGTACTCAACGTACATTAGATTTTGTAATGTACTACTACTACAAAGTAGTAGTACACTACTTTGTAATTAAGTATCAGATTCAGTTTCAGAAATGATTCCTAAAAAAATCCATACCACGGAATCCCGACTAAAAGTAAAACGTGCCCAACAACCAATGAGCTACTATTCTTTATTGCTATTAGAGCAAGTTGTGCAACTATGTTGCCGTGATGATTTTGAAACCATATTTGGGAAAATAATTAACTTATTTAAGTTTTCATGGAAAGAGTAACAGATCTGATCATAATTCATACCTCTTAAGTTTACAGATAGTTTATAAGTAGTATGTCCATGGCTTTCCTCTGTGTGATTCTCATCTCCTATCAGTTCTTTGTCTGGAATTTCTGCCATTGAGCTCAATTTCAACCTGGCCAGTGAGCAAGAAATTAGGAATGATGACACTGATTTTCTGCGATGTTTTAGGATTATAGTCGAGTTATGGTGGCTTTATGGAGCTGATGCGTTATAGATGTCAACACCAAATGATAGCGATTACGTAAAATCAGAATCCAACAGTTTAAAATGTAAAAAGCATCTTGGTTACTGCAGGACACAAAGCAGCTACTGTGCTGTGATCCCCTCCCCCCAAACAAGCTGGAATACCAATTGGCATAGTTTGGTTCCTGATATCTAAATATTTTAATAAAGTTATATCAGTTCTACTATTATGATTGTTAATGCTGCCTCTACCCTGTCTGGTGCTGAAAAGCTGTTGCTCAGCTGGCTGAAAGGAGGGCAGGATAGTTTTACTTGAGACACCTTCAGTCGTTTGGACATTTCCTGTGTTAATGTTTCATTTTCGTTTTTTGCTCATATATGTCATAGTTAACTTTACTCAGTAGGAGTAGTCATCACTAAAGAGAAGTTATTTCATTAAAACACTTTAAACCACACAAGCTCTAATCATCTTAATGACTGGAGGACAGACATGATTAGATTGTAACAAACCAAAACTTCTGCCTTGTAGATACACCTGTATGTTGTAAAATAACATAAAAAGAGCTAAAGGGCACAGAGGCCATGGATGACACACCTCACTGCAGCTGAAAATAATTGTTTATAACCACAGAGTTGCTCTTCCTGAACTAGAGCAAGAACAAACTAAAAGTAGACTATCTTTCAACTAAAGGGTTAATTTACCTTAACGCAGGTAAACAGCCCCGCTAGCTAAAACCGTTACTAGTTGAGCCACAGTTAGCCCGACTTTAACCCAATAAACCTCCATCCAGTCCCCGTTAGCTCGCTTTAATTTACACCGCGGTAGCAGCGAGGTTCCTGCGGACACGGCTGACCTGGAGCCTGAAGCCAAACTTACCCGGGAAATAGCCAGCGGCTGCTCGAAGTCCTTCCCCCCGACGAGCCGGAACCCCCACGGGCCGGGACCCTGCATCACCACCCGGACAGGAGCCATCGCGTCAGGCTAACGTGGGCGACTTCAGGCGTTAGAAACGACTGAGCTGTGGCTCCGTTCCTGCCGTTTCTGACATGCAGCAGGCGGTGAGCTGAGGCTGAGCAGCGCGGCGGCGGAGGGGTGGACCCTCCGGAGACAATTGGACGAATAAACGTGGAGGTTTTCCCCGCTGATAACCTGGTGTCCAGAGATCGTGTATTGCAAAGATGAGTCACTGCGTTCTACCCTAGTCACTTACATCCAACCACTTCTTCTTCTTCTTGACTTTCATTAGCAGTTGGCAAAAACCGTTAGAGGCGCAAACGACTCTACTTCCGGTAACCAGTTTTCGTCTTTTTCAGTTTTAAAATGTATTAGCGTTAAAACAGTTTAAGTTATCAATAAAGAGACCTTATGAATTTTTAACTATTAAACATTTTAAGGGAACATCTGTTAAGATCCTTTAATTTGTGAAGTGATTACGATAATAAAGCAGTTGTTTACCAAAATTACTCATGTTTCAGAAACATCTGCAGAAAAATCTAACTTTTTTCAACAACAATTTAAGTCAAAAAGTTTTTTAAAAAGGCTAAATGACCTGATAAATGGGTCTGATTCTATTCTGGGGACCGGATCTCTGCAGATGATGGAGAAAAAGGGATTTAAAATGAATAAAATGATGAACGACCCGAATCATCCTAATTAGGAGACTGCATAAGCTACATTTCCAATGACCAAATAACTGTGCAAATAGAAATTGTGAGAATAAACTTGCTCAATTGAAACACCAATCGTGGAAGACAATTTAATGGGAAGTATTTGGATGAGATGATTTTCAGCTATTTCGAAACGAATCCATTTCGCTAAACCACAATGGAAACATTTTTTTGCGTGTCATTTAATGGTGCAGCATGTTTTTTTAATTACTTATTGTAAACAAACTTATCCAGGTGTGATTTCAATTACGTGTCTAATTAATGAAAACATGCAAGTGCGTTTTTTAAATTTTTGACAGCAGAATATAAACAAAGTTTTATGCATATTTGCTTTTGAAAAACTGTCTTTACTGGAGGCTTCTGTAACACAGACCATTTCCCTTTGGGATCAATAAAGTATTTTTCAATTTGAGTTTGAAAAAGTTAATAGATAGTATCTCATAGACTTCTTTGATGTTTTCTTATTTATTTTTGACATAAGCTGAAAGCAGGTTTTTGACATTTTTGAGTTTCCACATATTAAAACACACTTAATCATCCTTATTAAAACAATTTGCTGAAAGTATGTAACTTTTTTCCCTTTGGAGCTGATAAAAGTTCCTAAAGGCAGAGCAGAGAGACCCCTCTTCACATTTCATCCTCATCTGAGCTCAGCCATTTGTTTCCAGGGGATGTCAGCTCTGCCTTTACGTCACTCTGTTATGTGCAAGCTTACCATTTATGGTAGAGCTAAAATCCCAGGATGTGGAATGTGCCGCTCCCAAAACCTGAACTCCAGCCAGGAGCTGCATGCTGAAAGCGGCCAGTCTGAATGAAACACGCCCTCTCTGCTTTGCATGCAGGCTTTAAACTTCTCTGCTGCTAAAGATCAGATCCTGCAGAAGTGAAGGTGGTTCTGATTGTTACAACCACAGCCGGACTAAAACGGTCAGTGCATCACTGTAAAAACTAAAGGGTGAAATTAGCATTAGTTTCATGTTTCCCATTAGCCAGAAACATGAACCCTGGCTATGTAGATATGCAGATATTTATGTAGTAAATTTCTACATTTACTTGAATAACTTTTTTGAAGAAAAAAACCAAACTTTGCTGTACTTTTTACTTTTACATAATTAATTTAATTATTATGAAGTATTGCTACTCTTAGGATTTCTGATTGAAAAATTTAAAAATCTATTTTTTGACTAGTTTCTTGTTCGGAAATCTTAGTACACTTGAAATGAGACGAATCTAAATTAAAAGTAACTTTTTAATAAGAAATAGCAGCTTGTTTTAAGTAAATAATTCCTTCATTTTGTTTTCAAAAAGTTCTAGTCCCACTGGCAGATTATTATTTCACAAAACATTTTTCCATGTCATATTTTTCCATCAATATTAATGAATTATTGACTTAAAATAAGCTCCCACATCTTTCTGAAAAATTTCTGGACTAGACAAAAAATACTTTGTATTTTGCAGAGTAGAAACAAAATCTCATGTGAACAATATTGTCTTCTGTTTTCTTGTTTATTTCACTTATTACCTGGGCCGGCTCTGGTTGCATCAAAAAGACGACGCATTGTTTTCAATATCTGCTCAAATTAGCTATTGATTCCAATCAACGCAGATAACTAAAGTGATAAATAATGCGACAAGACACATAATATTTTAAATTGTTTATTAAATATTGCATAATACCGTAGTCACAGCCGTGTGTGGTATCTTTATTTTAATGTTGTTAATCTAACATCACTGCAAACTGAAGCAAACAAGCCAAACCTGTTGCAGGTTGTGCATCTCATCAAACTATCCCAATTATTTCAGTTGTTAATCGTTATTTCGAAGCAATATGTCACACTCTTAGGTACTGGTTCTAGTTTGGTAACAAACAGACCATAGTTACACTGAATTATGACCCGATACATTTCAGTAAATCAAAATTAAAAAAATGACACTAGCTGCGTTTCCATTCACTATTTAATTGCGCAATTAAAAAAAAAAGTTTTAGCGTTATGGTGAGGTGTTTTATGGACGTATCAAAATTGGTTTTATTTGCAAAACTGCTACAGAAACAATATCTTTGCGTCAAATGAGTCACATGATCAACAACAGGATGTTGTCACTGGCACAAACCACGAAGAATAAAACAGGAAGTAGTTGGAGGATCGTGTTTTTAATGATTTATCGTGTGAACAAACTTATTCACCTGTGATTTAATTCTGTTTCTCATTAAATGGAAACACTGCAATTACAAAATCGTGTTTTATCCGACGTTAGTGGAATATGAAAGTTTTGTGCACATTTGTAACGGAAACGCAGCTAATGAGGCAGAATTTAATAAATCCTCATGGTTATGCTCACAAATGGCAGCGAACGTGAAAACATGTGAAACCTTCTGTGCTTTGCCTCAAATCCGAGTGACAGAGAGAACAATCTGATCCTCCTGCCGTTTACAGTCTGTTTGCTCTATTTTACATATTTACAACATTTCCTCTTCTCATTTAGGATGAAGTTTGGACAACGCTGCCTGCATCACATTCATATCTGCAAACATTCATTCACCCCCTGATGCTGTATGGAGCACAATAGAGCACAAAAACACTGCTGCGAGTATTTATGACTGACCTATTTTTACATCGAGTGTTAAAAAAATCTATTTTTATAATGGAAGTTTACAAATGCTACAAGTCGTCACACTCTCAACCAGCCAGACACATTGAAGTGAAGCTGAGGCTATAGAGGATCAAACATGTCGTGGAGGCCTCTGCGGTGAAACAAAACACGAACGATACATCAGTGCAAACCCACAGTGCAGCAAATTATCACAAACCAGCTGAGGAAAAACTCTAGCTATGTTGGCAAAGCAGGAGGGAAAAAACTGAATTAAACCCCAAAGAAATGGGAACACTGATTGTTCTGGTGACAAATTGAACTTCATTTACTTCTCATATTTCCTTCATCTGATTTCTATCTAAAGCATGTTTCTTTTTCACATTTTGTCACATCAGAAACACAAACTGTAATAAAAACAACTGGGATTTTATATGATCAACACAAATTAATGGATACACTGCAAAAACAGAATCTTACCAACTCAGTTTGGTCTAGTTTCCTTTACAAATATGGAATAAGACAAAACTAAGTCAGAAGTTACTTTCCAGCGAGATATAGGAGCTTGTTTTAAGGCAATAAAACAAACATTAATTCACTTGTAACGATGAGGGAAATATTATAAGTATTATGTATTATTAGTGGAATATTCTGCTAGTGAAAGTCGAACTTTTTAAAATCAACATCTAGAAATCGTTAAAAGAAGCTGCTGTTTCTTGCTGAAAAGTTCCTGGTTAGTTTAGTTTCATTTCAAGTGTACAGAGATAGATCAAGATTACTTATTAAATCACAAGATTTTCTGTTTTTGTAAAGTGGAATTAATAAAAATTATGTTTAAATGATTGTATTTGATGCCGGAACAAATTCCAACTCTTGTGTGACGTGTCTGGGAACGTTAGTGGACGAAAAGCATCAGGAAGACAGAAACACGGCAGAGAGGTCAGGAAATAACAGCAACAAGATCTCACAGAGGACACATCAGAGGAAAAGTAAAATAAAATAAAAACAGTAAGACACACTGGAGACGGAGAGCCGTAATCAGAGAGGTTAAAACAAAAATATTATGGAAATAAGAAAAAATCTGAGACTTTAGAAGACAGTAGACTGGGGTGGAGGTTCACCTGTAGCACCCAAAGCAACAATAAGATGGATCAAGGCATATAGATGTGTTAGAATGGCCTAGTCAAAGTCTAGACTTGCATCCAATTGAGGATCTTTTTTGCATGACCATTCAAAGTGAGTTGGAGCTATTTCGTAAAGAAGAATGTGCAAAAATCTGGCTGTTTTGAAAACTAATATATGTCCAATAAATTTTATGTTTTTTTTGTTTTTGTATGAAAGGATCGCAATTATACGGAATAACATGAGGGCCACTGAAAAAAAAGTAATACAAATTTGGACTTTTTTCTCAGGATCAGAATCATTTAAATTGTTTATGCAGCAAATCTCGTCTAAAATATACCAATTAAATTTGTGACAGGATTTCAATGAGGACAAAGAGCAGGTCTACAAACACAGTTACAAGAAAGAAACAATGTGATTATTTTCATTAGCTAACCACATAATTGACCTAAGAATATTTGGTTATTTGGAATTTGACGCAGATTGGCACAAAATCAGAATTATGAGTTAAAAGTCAACATTTTATTTACATGTTTTACATTGGCCCTAATCCTCTTCCATAGGCCGTTCACACTGATGTGGAAAAGGTGCACAAAAAATCCAATTTGCATCACATTCTGCTGTGCGAACGCAGCCTCATCGTTTCCATATGTAAACTGGAATTATGCCGTAATTAATTTGTGTTGATCTTTCATTAAATCCTAATAAAAACAGATTGAAGTTTGTGACTGGAAGTTGACAAATGCAAAAAAAAAAAAAAGTATGACTGTGAATACTTCTCAAGGCACTGTACAAAGGGATAACTACTGATGGTCTGCTATACTGTAATTGAGAAATGATGATTATAATCTTTGCACAGAGCCCTGATCTGCACCAAAGCAGCTTAAAAATACCTGTTTAGCAAATAACCCTCAAACTACAGCGTCATGCTGCTCTGTGCAGGTCATAACAAGCTCTACGGGTATCTGCAGAACAATCCGACAGCTCTGTTCAGGACTAACATGCACAGAGCTGAGACAGACAAAAACAAGACGGATTCTAAAGAAAATATGAAAAAAAAGATCAATAATAGTCCTTGTTTTTGTAGGTAGCTTAACTCTGGGATGTGGCGTTTCTCACACAGGAAGACGGCTCTGATGCTCTCAGAGGATCTAAAGTGAAACCCTGTCACCACCTCTGTGGGAAGATGAATTGGGTTGAGATGGGATTTCATGCTGCAGTTTGGTTTTACAGTGCATGCAGAACGTTTACAGAAAGAAAAACAAACACGTGCTCGTATTCAGAAGGCCTCGTGTGTGTGGATACAATCTGATCCCAGAGGATGTGGTTAAAACTTCTATAAGAATCAGTAAAAATCACATTCCTGAACTAAAACTAGATCGCAGTACACTGCAAAAACACAAAATCTTACCAAGTATTCCTAGTGGAAACTTCTTAGTACATTTAAAATAAGATAAAAATGACTTACAAGTAACTTTTCAGCAATATATAGGAGCTGGTTTTAAGTAGATAACTAAATGTTAATGAAAAAGTGCAGGTTTCCCTGGCAGATTATCACTTCCTGAAAACATTTATTGTTACACATAAAATAATCTGCAAGTGGAACTGGGTTGCTAGGCGACGGGCTGTGCTTGACCGGGGTTGCTAGGTAACGGCAGAGCCAGTTGTCAGTGAAGCTACAACTTTTTCTTTCATATTAAGGAATTAACTTAAAACACGTTCCTGTCATTCTAATAAGTTACCTCTAAGTTAGTTTTGTTTTATTTTTAAGTGCATTAATATATTTACACAAAAAACTAAACCAAAAGTATCGTGATTTTGCAGTGTAGGTCATATCAGATGAATCTGCTTTTATCTTGTAAGCTGGGGACAAACAGGAAGTTAAGTGCGACCACGCCCGTCTGGTAGTTGTGCTGAAGGCGTTGGGTCACTAGCTACCTTAAAGGCGTCACTTAATCCAATCAAATCAAAAGCGGCGCTTCACTTGGAGAGAACGTGCAACACAGTCTGTGTGTCCTGCTCTGTGTTTGCTACAGAAACAATATAGAAAACAATTTGCCTTCGCAGCGCTTTTGCTGCTCGGGCTTAAATATATCATTTTAAATAAGCTTGTTGTTTCTACACATGCACCCGACTGCATCAGGAAGAGCGTTTGGTTAAAAAACAAAACAATACTGAAGCGGTGTCTGAAGCGTTAGGATTACACAGAGGTGTAGCAGCTTTAACATTCCCCTGAAAAACAACAACACTGAAGTTATAGTAATTTCAGATAACCAAAAAAAAAAAAAAAGAGAAGCAAAATCAGACCAGTTCCAGCAGGGGTCGCTAACGTTACTGATGGTTAAAGGGCAGATATCATCATATTGAAGAGACGGAAAGCTTCATATTTAAAGTACCTCAAATTTTGTTTGTTTTCAAAGTGAATAAGAAACTTTAAAAAGATAATTTTTTGAAACAAAACGAGACTTTAAAGCCACGCTCCCAAAAACAGGAAAGTACGGCCATATATGGATAATGTATTTTAATTACTGTAGACAAAAAAATTAACATTTTAAGGCACATGTATTAAACTCACGGCCCGCGGGCCAAATCCGGCCACCGTGACTATTTCTGTGGCCCTCTACTGTAGAGAGCCACAGAAATTGAACTTTAAGATACCAGTTATGTACTTAAACATGATTTAATCAGAAAACAAATCAGTTTTCATTTGTATAGGACCAAATTACATTTGTGTGAAAAGAAGTTAAAAAATTAACATTTTAAGAAGTACTAATTAGATGTAGATAAGTTTCAACAGTTTAACGTTTAGTTTTATTAATACATTCTGCATCAACTGGCCCTTCGGAGACATTCATGATCTACATGCGGCCAAAAATGAAAATGTTTGGCTTCCCTGTTTTAAGGCAATTACATGGAAAGAGGATGAGTTAGCATGCTTGCTACAAAGACATTCCAAAAAATAATAGAAAAATTAGACTGAAATTAAGAAACTATTTAAAGTTGACACACAGTTGCTACAGCTGCTAGCAGAGTCGACAGCCAGACCACCAAGTTCATCAGGCTGGAACAGTTTCTTTTACCAGTAACTGCCTGTGACGATGGTTTTTCTTCATCAGTGTCTGAAGCCACTTGATGCAGTCTTGTTGGTTGTGCAGGAGGCTCCACTTCTGCTTTTCAAAGTATGGCTGTAAAACGACGCATCTTTTTGCAGCAGAAAGTGTAAATGTTGATTTGTTGGGGGGATGACCAGCTGCAGCTTATATGGATTTAAAGTGACAGAGCCCTAAAACAGCTCATTCTGAAACTGACTACAATCTCATCATCTAAGAAAGATTTGTCCAAAAAAATGTAATGAACATGTTTTGTTTCGGCCTTAGACCTACCACAACCTGTTCAAGGAAGCATTATAGATCATCTTTAATAATAATGATATATGCCCTTTAAACTCAAAATGATTGTTTTTTTTCAATCAGAATCAAAGGGGAAAAGTCTGTTTGACAGACAAAATTTCACATCTGGGAAGTAAATTTGATATTTTTAAATTAAGAAGATCCAAGATTGATGATTCGCACCTCTGGTCCCGAAAGGCGGCTTCACAAAATACAACGTTGTTCCCTCCTCCAAAGTCCTTCTTCGGTAATAAGATCCATTGTGATGTGGCGATCGAGACCAGGTGCTACATAAACACACGGACGTACTGGAAGCTATAATCTGTGCAACATCAGCTAATTCGAGTGACGTAATCCCCACATGTTGGAGTCGGATGGATTCTGCCCAGAAGTGAGTAACGGGTGACGGCGGTTTGGGCGGAGAGAGAGCGCCGTCCCCTCCGCCGTCCTTCCACATCCCCTCGGCCGCACCGATCACTTAACCAGCAAACGTATTCGCCTGGCCAGACGACTATTCTACCCAGCAGCCATGCGCAGTAGTAATAACTTCCCCAAGCTTGACAGGCAACCGTGTGTTACAGGCAGATTAGATGTGGTTACAGTTTCACTTCCTTCACGTAATTCCCAGGGAAAGTCCCAAACTGTTTTGTCCTCCTCGATGTGCCTGTGGAGGAAAACAGGAAAACGGGAGTAAGTGATGGGGTTCTGCTGTCATCCATTAGAAACTCTATATGGAGCAATGTGACCCAGTGACGCATGGCTCTCCCTCTGCAGGAGGCTTCATGCATGCTTGTATGGCATGCCATTTTAACATAAAATCCATTTCACTACACTTATGTTCCAGATATCTGAAACTGGTTTATGACTAGATGTCATAGTAAATGAAGAAATCTCTTTATTACATTCTGACTAGTATAAATGAGGTTAAATTTACTATTAAAGGCGACCAATTATCCAAAACTCACTTCCATTTGTGTTTCTACTGCTTCTAAAAAAAAACTCAAGGATTTAAAAATATAGTCAGCTTTTTGGGCAATAAGTTAATGTTTCCAAAACCTTTTTGAATGTAACGTCACAAGTCAGTAGGCGCTGTCCTTCACCTAGCTAACCCATTCCATTACTTAGCAACCTTAGCAGAGTTCCAGCACATTTGGTCAGCTGGTTTTACTGTTTTATGTCCTGGACAATGGCTACTGGAAAAGAGGGGAGTTTTATTGTTGACTTAGCATTCAGAAAACACTTGTTGCATTCTTATTGGTTGACTTGTAAGCTTGTCTTATTTTTGAATTTTAAATGAGTATTTTATTGGTCAACTTTGCAATAATACGCCCTTATTAACGTATTACTTGAAAATGATTTCAAACCACAATTTTAATAGCAGTAATTATTAATTACTCATCTTTAGATTTGTAGAATGTAATTACAGATAACCCTGTCAAATTTTGTTGGATGATAAATTATTCTAGACGTATCGCAATAATTGACAATATTGTTGTTTTGAGAGAACTTGGAAGGAATATAATGGTGATCTGGTGCACATTTTCAAAGACCAATAAACTTTAAATTCTAATGAATATTTATCATTGGAACAGGAAGACTTTTTAAATATCTAAAATAAAAACAACATAAACAACAAATAAATGAATTATAAAGTTTCTCTAATCAAAATTGTCCTTCAAAAAATGTCTATTTGAGACCAAAACACCAGACAGAAGACTTTTATCATCCAGTTTTTGGTGGAAAAAGAAAAAACAACAAATCGTGCAAATGGAGATTTCATGTGACTGATTTATTGCACCAGACTGATTTTATGTTAAAAGGGCTTGCCGTACAGTACAGCGTCTGCAAGCCTGTGCTGTCATTGTGCAGAAACCCTGTATGGATTAATGTCCTGCAGGACGTACCGACAAACCAGCCGTCATCGCATTTTTCCATGACACTGACGAGATCTCCCTCCTGCAGCTCCAGCTCGTCGTCATTCTGAGGCACATAACTGTACAAAGCCTGGAAACTGGAGCGGCGACACAAAGAGCACGTTGTTAAAACCAGCAAACCGGCTCGCTCCAATCAAAGGAGCTGGGAGGGGCTTCAGCTGAAACATGCAAAAATAAACAATAAAAAAGTGAAACTGTAAATAAATGTCACTCACATTCCACAGCTGAGACGACTCGGCTCTGGGCTGCTGCTGTGGGACTGGGGTTGCTGGGAAATGATGAGACATGGTTTACTGGGGTGGGGGTGCAGTCTATGAAGAGAGTCATTATGGTGGTGGGACAGGGTGCTGCAGTACCTCACTGAGGTCTCAGCAATATTCAAGATCTCATTACACACTGCCTCCTGGTGGGAGCAGGAGTCGCCAGAGACACATACAAGAGTCCCGGAGGAGGCCGAGGTCAGGGGTTTAAGGAGTTAGAAAGAGGTGGGGGAGGGGGGTCGGATACGAAGCAAAGGCGGGGAAAAAAAACGGAGAATACGGCAGTAATCCATTCAAAGCCAGAAGAAAAAGTAGAGATGTTGGTGAAGCCCAGGAGGAGAGGAATGAAACACCAGAGTGGGAGCATGGAGACAGGAAACATGAGACCGTTAGTTCATCGTTACAGGATATTAGTCAGTGTGAGCATGAAGATGGTGGCCACAGACAGACGTTTAAAGGGACAGTATTATGTTTTCCAGGCAGGTAATGCCAGTTCATAGCACAAACAAAGTAACCTTCAGTTTTCATAAAAAGATTTTATTTAAAATCTGACTTAAAAGTCCTGGTCTCTCAGGAAGTTATCACACTACTCCTACATTAACCCTTTAACAACCTTTTTACCAGCATTTCACTGAGGAGTATCTCCTATAATGAGCTCAGCAGGTGTCTGCTAATTGCTGCTGGCTAGTCTGAAGGAGCTGACTGGGGGAAGAACTGTAAGGTGGAAGCTTGAAAACCGCAATTATAAGCTAGAAAGAAATAATTGTAACTTTCAAAATCATAATTTTAGATTTCCAAGTCATAATTATGAGATAAAAATGATAATTAATAAAATAAAAGTAATAATTTTGACTTTTAAAGTCAATTTTGAGATGGAAAGTCACTTTGTTTATCTAAGGCAGGTTTGTTTGTGACGTGGGAAAAACATGATAACATGATAGAAAGCTGAAAAAAGTCAATTTTACATAATGCTGCCCCTTTAAGACAATTCATTTTCTTCCTGAGAGTCACATAAAGCTGGTTTATGTCAGATAGACAGTTTATTTATTAGCATCAACCACTAGTTTCCACCAAAGTGGAATAAGCAATAATTCAATTAATCGCATAATGAATTAAAATGAGCTCAATAATTTTCATTCTGATTATTAATATTATTTTGACAGGCAATTTTGTCGGCTGCTCCCCTGACAAATTGTACATATAAAAACTTATTGCTTGATCATCCAGAAGCCTCATGCGTGAGGCTTCCATGTTAATATAATGGACACAGTCATGAACAGGAAGCAGCATAAAAATTCAAAGTCATAATTACGAGCCAGAAAGAAATAATTGTTACTTTCAAAATTATAATTTGGGTTTAAAAGTCATAATTATAAGATATAAATCATAATTATGACTCACAACGTCATAATTCTAATGTTTGTAAAGTCATAATTATGACACATAAAACTATAATTATGTCTTTTAAAGTCATTATTTTGTCTTTCAAAGTCAAAATTCAGACTTCCTCTTCGGCTTTTATTTTTTCTTTCATGGCAGAAATGGGCTTCCATACACTTTTATTTTTACATCAGTTAGCTAGGATTTGCTTTATTGTGCAGAATTTCTTTAAAAACGTGAATTTGTTTAATTTTATTGGTCTGAATGACGGTTTTTGACGATTAGGAAGAAAACAAATCAAGATTTTTCCTAAATGTCAAACTTTTATGGATGAATTGTTTGTTGTCAAACATGAGGCACAACTTCACACATAAAGGAAGTTAAAGATGAAATAATGAATTTAAATGAAAGATGAAGTAATGAGTTTAAATGAAAGATGAAATAATGAGTTTAAGGGCATTTTGGTCAAAGATCAGAGATTTCCTTACCGCAAATGAGTTAACGTTGTTGTTCTCCTGGATGTCGTACGGCGTCACGGGGCTCCTGGAGATCCGTCCCAGATGGTCGGCCTCGTTCTTCACAAACTGCAACACACACACATCGCCAGCGTCTTTTAATGAAAGCTTAGCTGAGCTGAAACCGGTCCGAACCCCACCACAACCTCAGGGATGCAATTATTGAATTCATCTGAAGCTGATCAACTAACGATTAACAAATAAGCTTTTCTCTTGTGCCAAGATGGCTACCCGTATTTCCACAGTGTTCTTATGCTGAATTAAGAAGATATCTTTATTTTTAATATTATTTTGTGTCAGCTGATTTAAATACTGACTGAATAAATTTAAAAAAAAATTCTCACATAAATATAAATAATAATAAACTTACTATTTACTGAATATAAAAAACAGGAAAATTAAAAGATGAAAAGAATAAAGCATCTGAAACACTTAATACAGATACAGAAGTACCATTTGTGTTTGTTCTTCAAGGAAAGTGAAAACTTTGCACGATTAAATCGATGAACTCATGAAAGATCAATCTTGCTGTTTGGCACCATGTTTTCCCTCTAACCGCGTTAACTTTTCTGTCATCACATCCTCACCTTGGAAACGTTTCCGAATGAAAAGTTGAATATAAAGCTCCATTCATGTGCATCTTGAGGCGCTTTTCGTTTATATTTAAAAACAGAACCGCATTAAGTTCACTAGACTCTGGTTCGGCTGCCATCTTGGCGTCTGCATCAACCTGCTGGAGGATGACCAGCGGCGCCCTCTGCTGGATGAAGGCCAAACTACAACACTAAAAGAAGGTCGAAGCGGCCGTTGTTTGTGAATCAATTGGAACTAATTTTAATCTAATGAATCATTAATACACAGTTAATCATAATTTCCAAAGTCCAGCTAAGCTATTGATGCACTGGAAGTTGCTAGCATTTTCTGTTAGCATCACTCTTGGTAAAACTATCTTTAACGAGCCAAACTGGTGGTAATTTTCATATCCTCATGCCAAAAGTTGAACTGGGACTTTTCTTCTTCTCCTGAAAGTCTTTCACAGCCATAAAATGCACGCACACACACACACACACACACACACACACACACACACACACACACACACACACACACACACACACACACACACACACACACACACACCGCAAAACCACTGAACGTTAGTGAACACACCACAGCATGCATTCCCCTTCAGACTCGATCTTCTGCAAAGACCAGCAGAACTCTGTGCAGCTACAGGTCAAACCCAAAGCCTTGGAAAATTATGCACACTCCTAAAACTTTTCCACATTTTGTCACGTTAAAACCACCAAATTCAGTGTTTCAGCTTCATTTGGGGTTTTACGTGATAAAGCAGAAAATAGTGCATTTTTGAAGAATGGAGGGGAAAATTATGTGTTTTTTAATAATGCAAACAGCAAAACAAATGCAATGAAAATGTTGCAAAAACCTGCAATTACAAAAAAGGAAAAAAAGGAATTATGCAAAAAGCAAAAAGAACAGGAAGTATAGAACGCTGCAAACTCGCGCCAAACCAGGGCGTCCTCCAAACCACTAGGGGGAGTCTGGAGTAGGTAACAATACCCTCATAAAGATGTTCCCGTTCTATTATATAGTAAATGATACAAAGTATGACTCTTTTTCTTTCCATTTCTAATTTAAGCTGCTTTAGATTTGTCGTTGTAATTAGGACTGAAACTAACAACTATTTTAATATTCAGTTGATCAGATAAAATATTTGGCATGTTTTTGCAGATTTTCCTTTGACTCACTTAAGCTTTGCTTATGCAATATCAGAAATATGTTAAAAGATAAAAATTAACAATTCAATTCCATTTTATTGCCTAAAATGCTGTAACACACCGTTCCTTTTGTAGCGCGAATGATCTGGGTTCAGAGGTCGTGAATACTTTTCCAAGGCTCTGCAAAAGTGATGAGCACACATCAGAACCACATCCACAGCTACTCTAGGGAGGTCAAAGGTCATTTTGCAGTGAACACCACACACCATGCAGGTGGTACCTCTGCAGGGCTACTCTGTCTGCTGCCCCGGGCCACCCGGCCCCGCTCCCCCTCCGCGCTCTCCCCCTCGCTCAGCCAGCCTTCAAGCACCGGCCCGCCGTTGGGGCTCACGCTGCGCGACAGGAAGTCCTCCCCCTGTGGCGGAGTGAAGGTGAGAAAGGGCGTGGCCGAGCCGGGCCTGGGCGGATGCGGCGGCGGCAGCGGGGAGGCGGACGGAGACACCATCGGGGAGATGTAGGGCACGGGGCTGGCAGAGTACGGCGGGGGCAGGTACTCGCCCCAGCGGTAGGAGACGGTGGGCGGCGGCGGCAGGGGGGGCGTAGGGGCGGCGGGGGGGCTGCCACCGCCCACGGTGAGAGAGATCCACTCGGAGGAGACGGCGTGGACCTCGGGTGAGACGGAGCGGCGCGGGGAGCGGGGCAGCGGCAGCGGGGAGGTGGTGAGGCGGTTACGATACAGCTTTTTACACAAGATGGAGGGAGCAGAGCGGGAAATAAAAGATGAGAAAAATTCACCAAAACAACAATAAAGAGAGATGAAGTGAACACAGAGAGACATAACGAGAGCTGGGCGATTTAAAGATTAAATCTCCATTTTCTTTCAATTGTTTTTCTGGAAACTAAATTGCAAATAGTGGATTTTTGTTTTAAGTGTTTGATGTCTGTCTATCTGAATCCTGCAGCTTTAAGGCCAGGCTACAAGACTATTTGTTCATTTATAAGAATAAAGTTATAATATTACTAGGGCTTGACGATACTGAAAACTGTATAAAAGTGTTTCATCACAGTCGATATCAATAATTATTGACTAGAGTTTTAGTTTTAAATATCTGAAAACCTGCCAGACTGGCGGCGTCGCCTTTCCTGTCTGATCCACAGTTTTTTATTTTTAACCAGTTATGAGAACTGAAAACCTGAAACTGCTGCTGCGCATGTCGCTCAACAGCCCGTTGCTAGGTAACCACAAGTTACTCAAAAGGTTGTTGCTAGGTAACCAAGAAGAGAGTGAGCTAGCTTCTCTAGTTGTGAGCGGCTAAAGCATTTCCTCTGCCTACATCTCCCAGAATGCTCAGTGAGGATTATATATATATTAAATATTCAATCAAACGTGTTATCTTTTGATATTGATCATGTGTCTGCTGCGATATGTAATGTTATTTATTTATTGTTCAAAGTCCTGCTACTGATAATAATCTGATGCTGATGTGTCAAAATATTTATTATTCCCGGTTCTGTAAAACTGATACCAAAGTATTAATGGAAACTGCATTGGTGGAAAAAAATCCAGATTTTCCAAATATTAAAATGTTAAGAATGTGTTTATGGCCCAGTCTGAAACACGACCCAGATGAGGCTGACCTGCGGCGAGGCGTTGGTGCTGCGCTGCGGCGAGTGGCTGACCGGCGGGTCCGGGTAGTCCACGCCGTTCTTCACGCGCGGCCGCTTGTGGACTTCCACGTAGGTGACGGGGAAAATACCCTGCCGATTGGTGCCGGAGATTTTCCCTTCGTACCAGTTCTCATCCACTCTGCGGATCAGCGTGATCCGCTCGCCCTGCAGAACCACCAGGTCGGGTCAGAACCACCAGGTCGGGTCAGAACGGTTCTGCTTCTGTAATATTATCGGTACCACAGACAGATGATTCACCTTCCTGAAGGACATCTCCACCACTGTGTCGCCCTTAAAGTTGAAGCGGGCGACCGCTTCTCCGTACTCCAGAACCTGGACCGGGGCGCTTTTCTTTGGCTGGGCTTTCTCTGTGGGAGGCAGGAGCTGCAACATGAAACCATTAAAGGCGATTTATCGTACGTTAGGTTAGATCTGTGGGCGATACAAAACAAGCTCATTCAATTTTTCTTGCACAAAATTATTCTTAAGTCATGAGACTTTGGTCAGCTTCAGAATGAGCTGCTTTATGGGCTCTTGCCACTTTAAATCCAAATAAACTGGCTCCAACTCATGCTGAAACTGGCTGCACACAGATGCCACTGTACATCTTTGAAAAGCAGAAGTGGAGCCCCCTTCATAATCAACAAGTTTCTGGTTTCTTCGCCGACTGAACCAACCTCAACGTAACTTCGTGGGAAAATGCCGACTCTTCCATGATGTTCTCCTTCATACCAGTTCTGATCGACTTGTCGGATTATGTACACAATATCCCCCTTTTGAAACGGTAATTCCCTGAAAAACACAAACAGCTAATTTTATTGGCTTAAAGTTTTGAGAAACGGCTGACTATTGTCTTTATTCTGATGATTTTCACCTACTTTAGGCTCTCTGCTCTGAAGTCAAAGCGTGCCATGGCTGGAGTTCTCTGTGCAGAAATGAAACTTTTCAGTTAGTTTGTGAATAAAAGACCACAGTATTTTAATCAGATTGTTCTTTCTGGCTCTTAAATGACACGTAGTAAAAGAAGATCTTCCTGAGTCGTGTCGTGAGCTCGATATGTAGATAAAGGTAAAAAGGAGAAAATTTCCACCAAAAACACTGAAAAATGTTTAGATTAACATCAAATACTTAGAAGAAAGTATTCTTTGCTCTTCAAAAGTCTTAAAGTTTGCGAGAAAAAAAAAATAATTTCAAATGATTAAATTATTAAATGTATGATATTAAAACTTATTTATTTTCTGACATTATTAGAATCAAAATTCCTTTTATTTTGTTACAAGAAAATGCAACAAAATAAATGATTTAAAGTCAGACATTTGTGTCATAAAATTTCAGAATCTAAGATCTAAATGGTAAATTAATGAAATTTATGAAATATTATCTACACAATGAACTTAACCTTGCAGGACTTCTGCTAGTTTTTGTTGCAAATTTTACAGATTTTAAAACCATAAATGATGTCATTAATTATAGAGAAATATTTTCTTCTTTTTTTTCAGAAAATGATGTTTTTCCTTGAATAAAATATTCTTCAATTGTTACAATTGATGAGGAACAACAGAATTAAATGTAGGACCGGGCGACACGTTGATTTTATTCAGCTCTCCCTGCACCGTTACCTAACAACCGTAGGTCATTAAAGTTATCTGTTTGTCAAATCTTGAAGATTACATTTTTGGAAAATCTGGATTATTTTTTTCAGCTGACATAAACTTCTTGTGACGGGAAAAAATCCCATGATTTCAAAAGACAAATAAATAGATTCCATAAACACAAAAACGATTTTCAGGTAAGTTTTATAAACCTGGTCCCAGTTCTGGTTTCGTCCGTCGTTTTGTAAATTTCAGTTTCTGTTGTTTTGAAATATTCTGCCGGTGTAACTACAACTCGGTTGCTGGGTAACGGCGCAGGGACAGCTGAATAATGTCAGAGGAGTTTTTAGTTTTTCATCAATATTAAGGAATTATTGACTGAAAACAAACTTCTATCTTCCTGAAAAGATACTCTGAAGTTAGTTTTGTCTTATTTCAGCAGGACTAAGATATTTTCACTGAACATTAGACAGAAATGTTGATTTATCAGGGTGCAGAAAGTCCCCCTCCTCCGTCTTCCTGCCTGCAGCGGTGATAAGACTCGGCCCTGCGTTGTACCTCGACGCCTGATTTCCGTTTCTCGGCGTTATCTGTGATGTTGAGCAGGTCTCCGAAGCGCTCGTTGGTGATGAACTGGTGGTGCGTCGGAACAATCCCCGTGTGCCTCCGGGCCGCGATGTCGGCCTCTTCCTGCTCCCGCTTCAGCCGCCGCTGCTCCTCCAGGATTTTCTGTCAGGAAAACAAAACAGAAAGCTGCATTTCTGCTGCTAATTTCTGAAAAATCTGCACACATTTCAGCGATGAATTCACCTCTTTGTCCCCATGACGCTTCCTCAACACTTCATCCTGGCTTTCCCCCTGAGCTGGGGCCGAGTCTGACAGAAACAACAAAATGATTTCATCGCTAACTTTACGTCTCATAACTGCAAATTCAAACTAAAATTTTCCAGTCACCTCCTGAATTCCAGTTAACTGAATGAAAGGGAATACTATAATAAGCATGCACACATCAAATGGCCACACAAAACAAAGTACACTGCAAAACATCTGCATGCAGACAGGGATGAGAACAATGACCAAATGCTGGAAAAATTATATAAAATTACAGTGACCGCCAGTAAAAAATAAAAAAATCAACATGAAATCATGAGAGTATTGATGGTGAATGACCAATACTTTTTAAAAGTTTACATTTATTTCATTAATTTATTAATTCCCAAACAGAAAATATCTCATCTGTTTGGGAAGAAAAGATCGACGGCGTGTCTAAAAGTAAAAAATGACGGAAAACCAAAATTAATATAGAAATGCATGAGTTACATAAGGTTATAATGGCTATAAAAAGCCTCCAGATTTCTGAACATGCTCGTTTTCTATGACGATGGAAAAAATGTCATTTCAAAACTTAATTGTGACCTATGACCTGAACTGCTTCGTGTCTGCATGTGGTGAGCAGGTGGAACCAAAGTTAAATTTACTGCTTGTGCCTCAATCGTTGCTAAAAAGCTAATTCTGATGAGCTAAATGGGTTCTTTGTATTGATGTTGTGCTACAGCTTTCTAGCAGTAAAACCCAGCACCAAAGCATGATACTGCCACCATCATGCTTCACATGAGGTATCGTGTTCATTTGCAGCATTTGTTACATTTTCAGCTGCTGAGCTTCTCCTCCACACTGCCCTGAGTCAGATAATCCAAACGGTTTGAAAAACCTGCTGCCCTCCTCACCTGTGGGGGCGCTGCACCAAGAACACCTGGAGAAAATGAAGAAGACGCGAAGCTCAATTGTAAAAATGGAGTAGCATCTGATTTTAGCTGCTTTAGGATTTCTCTTTTGTCTTTAGTAAAAAAACTACAAGTAATTCCTCCTGTTAGCGCTAAGCTAATGTGTTTGTTTTGGTTGCATTTACCCAGAATGCCCTGTGCTGTAGTCCACTTCCTGTTTTTGGAGCAGTCTCCGGTCTGCTTGGTGTTCACATAGCATTCAAACTACACCAGAGTTCACTGTCAGACCTCCTGGTTCACACCTCCAGGTCAATAAATCAATATTAGCGATTAATCACACTTTTGGACTTTCTTCCCCACCAATGCTTTTCTGGATCAATGTCAGCCCAAGGCGGCCATTTTGTTTCACAAGCCTAATGGCTTCTTTTCTTGGAATATTAGGCAGTAAAAATCTTTTTTATTTTGCAAAAAGAAAATCATAATCTTTCAAGAAGACCATCGTAGTAAAGCGAGAATAAAATCTCAATATTACTGGAGTAAAGTTGAAACATTAGGAGAATGAAGTAGTAATTTCATGAGAAAATAACAAAAAATTCATTTTACAATCATTTTTTAAAATTAAAACTAAATTCTCTCGCAATTTTAAGACGTTCCTCTGGTAAAACTGTCTTTAGTCTGACAATATTGTGACTATCTTCTCATAATTCTCATAGCTGTGCCTCAGTACTCAGATGTAAAACTCAGAAGCAATGATAGAAGTAATAGCCACTTACTGAATTTTTTTCTGTCATTTATAATTTCTTATTTAGAAAAGAGAGCAAGAAAAATAATCTAATGAAACTGGAAACTGAATTTGGTATGAAATACACTGGAGATTTTATTTTGAGCTCTATGCTCCATTGATGAGACTGAACTTTATATACGGCTGTGACAAACAGCTACTACCCAAGTTGCTTTGGTATTTCATCCCTAAATGATGCACTTTGTATCACATTGCAGGTGAAAACTTTCAAAATGATGTTTCATCATCTTTTATGTCACAAAAAGCTCTTTATATTCTTCACGTTTGGCTTTTACTTTTTAGGTGAACTGCAGGTAAGTGTTTGCCAATCTTCAGCAGGCATTTAAGTGTAAACTATAATTTGTAAAGATGTAATGCTTTACAAATTTCCAGAAGATATTTATGTATGTGACAAAAGGCTTCCTGAAGCTCCTGCTGTCAGTGAAGTGTTTGGATGGCATTAGTGTTTAATGCACAAAAAAATCTTCATAAAGGAGAAAACTGGTTTGCTTGCAATTTGCAGTGTGTAAAGGGTTCAATAGTTTTGATTTTAAGTTGATAAGTTAAATAGAGTTAGCATAATGGTGCTAAAAACAGAGTTGTATGCAGCTAAGCTATGCTAAGCTAAACAGGCAAATTTTTCTTTGGATAAATAAATAGTTTTAATAAATGTTCACTGCAATCTAACGGTGTTTTCACAACTGGCAATTCAGGGCCAAAATTGCAACATTTGTGACATTTTCAGCTGCTGCTGTTCTCTTTTTCACTGCACTGACAAACAATCTAAACTGTTTCTTGGTGCAGTGCCCCTACGGGTGAGGAGGAGAACTGCATATTCTAATTAGTTTGATTTGTTTGACACAAAAGAGAAGCACACCAGCTGAAATTGTAGCAAATGCTGCAACTTTGGTCCCCAATCAAACTGATTCTACCAAGAGGTGGCTTATAGCGCCGGGCATTCTGGGTAAATTGAACCAAAACAAACACGCAAATTTAAACTCGTGTTTTTTTTGTTGCCAAAAATAAGAGAGAAATCTTCTAACCACTCAAATTTGACACCACTCCATTTTTGTTTACATTTCACGAAGAAGGAAGATGCGCTTAGTCTTTGTGTCATTTCCTTCAGTGCAGCGCCCCTGCAGGCGAGGAGGGGAACAGGTTTTTCAAAGGGTTGGGATTGTTTGCCAGCACAGTGAGAAAAAGAAACACAGCAGCTGAAATTACACAAATGTTGCAATTTTGATCCCCAATTTAACCAAGTCTACCAAAGTATCAGGTGTGAAAATACCTTTAGACAGCAGAGCATTTAAAGGAAATCTCAATTTTCAACACAATCTAGACACCTGGATGAGAGCTCTCATTCACAGTGAAAATGGAAGATGGACAGTTCCCTGTCACTTGAACACACCACACAGACTGGAAATGAGAGGACAGTGGCGTTGCTTTGTGGAGGAGGAAGGTGAAGATCAATGAGAGACCACAGAGCAGTGAAAGGGATGGAGTTAGCGACCTCTATGGTGAGCTGCCAGTAGGTTCCCGTTGGCGTCAAACACCTGGCCGTTACTCAGCCGCTCCGTCCCGCCGCCCTCCAGCTTCTCCACGACCTCCAGGGAGGAGAGCCGCCGCGGGATGAGGGGCCTCTGGGTGCCCGCCGTCACCCTGGTGGCCAACAGCGTCCGGCGGGTTTGGTGCTGCTGTGGGTTCTTCCGTAACCTGAAGGGCGCCGGGCCCATGAGGAAAAGGTTTCCCGGCAGCATGGCCTTCCGCTCCGCAGCAGCCGGTGTGTCCTGCTGCCTCTCGTGGCGCAGGATGGTGGTAAAGCGGGTGTAGGAGGCCGGGCAGGCGCCTTTGCACTTGCTGGGCTTTAGGAGGAGTGGGTGGTTCAGGTGGTGCAGGTGGTGATGGTGGTGGTGGAGCGGAGGGGTTTTGGATCCACTGAGGATCTGTTCCACTTCCTGTCCATCCCCCGATGACGAAGCCACCTCGTCCTCCGGAGACGAAACCCTGGAGTTCCCGCCCTCCGCCGCAGTGCTAACGTCCGTCGTTGTGGCTTCGGTTGTCAGGAGCGCCTCGGCGGACACGGCGGACGCCACGCGGTCGGGGCTGCGGTTCCGCCCGGAGTCCAGGGCGGGCAGTGACGACGAGCGGCTGGGGGCGGCGCCAGACCGCTGGATCATCGATTCGAACTCGCTGACCCTTGATGACACGTTGTCCCGTCCAACAGTCCCGACCGACTTCTCTGCGTTGCTCTTGGCCGCCTCAAACAGCGAGGTGAGGCTGCGGACGCTGCCGTGCGGGCTGCAGCCGACCGAACTGGGCCGCTGGATGTGATGCATGGAGCGGTAAAGGCTGGAGAACCCGGACGCGCTCCGTCTCACCGCTGGGGAGACGCCCCGGTCCTCCTCTTCTCCAAAGCGCCCTGGGTAGATATCCTCACAGCTGTGAGACTTGGGCTGTCTGGCGCAGTCGCTGCTGCAGTCCCTGCTGTCACCACCGGGGGGCAGCAGCTTGGGCTTGAACTTAGAGGGCAGGATCTGCGGTATGCAGGCTTTGGCAGCGGACAGGGGCTTCTTACTCTTACACTGGTCACCTATTGCATTACTGGCAAGAACCGTTCGACTATTTACAGAGGAGCAGGGTGAAATTAAATAGCCATTCCCACCTTTATAATCCACTGGCAAGCATGCAGGACAACAGAATAAACAACATATTAGATTACAACGTCACAAAGTTTACACACAAAAACAGTTTGAGTCTGAGCTAAAAACCTAATTCCATCAAAAGTGGATGAGAGGAAGCAGCCTTGATGCTGTGAACATCAAGTAGACGTTTACTGCAGGAAACTACGGTGGCCCTGAAGGTCAAATCACTAACCACAAAATTGAATATCACAACAAAATATTCAAAAACGCAATGACATTAGCGGAGCACAACTATAAATTAAGAAAACAACGAAAAACTAAAAGTTAAGGGTTTTCTTGAGAAAATTAAAAAAACAGAACATTAACTAACGACTGCAGTCAGAATAATATCCAGTTCTAAAGCCAAACTCTTGGGTTTCCCACTCTTGTTGTAATTGTGCTTACCACAATTAATGTTGTTGTGTTTTAGTGACTTGTGGATGCGGCTGGATCTTCAGGGCCACCGTAGGAGCCTGTATCGTCGACACAACGAGGGAACAGACGGCGTTCAAACAGCGACATGCCATGAAATGTCATGTGATGTTGGAGGCTGTTTGAGCCAGCAAAATCTAAAGGCTGATCATGTTCAGACTTTGGTTGTTTGAGGGGATTTTAGGTGATCGATCAACACAAAATAGAGAGTAACTGTGAAGTGGAAGGAAAAAGACTGAGGCTGAAACGCAGCTTTGTTTGCAGAATCTGCAGGCGGAGCTGCTGTCACGCTGCTTTCCTGAGTTTGTGAATTAAAAATACACCCTGATCCAAACGCCCTGCAGCTAAAAGTTGAAATCTGCTAGGAAAAGCTTGTGTCAGCGCCTGGTGACTCATGATCCAGATGGTGCCTGGAAATGACACAACACTTTCACGCGCTGCGAGGCTCCACTGCGGGGCGAGCGACCGATCAAATCTGTCAGGAAAACACGCTGTGGAGGATGACTCTGCGTTTTATTCATGGCAGACGGAGAGAAAACAGTCACTCCTGCTACTCAGGGTTTTGTTTTATGTGAACAAAGACTTGGGGCTGAAACAATTAATCGGATTAAACTCAATTCTGTAGCACATTGAGACAAATAAAAACAATCACAGTTTTGACTCATGTTTAAACTAATAGTGAAATGTCAGTTTGAGAAGGCTGTTCAAAGTGCTTTACGGTCATAAAATGTCACAGAATCACCAGTTGTGACTGTAATTCAGTAATCGATTAATCGTTAACTTCAGTAATCGATTAATCGTTAACAACTTCAGTAATCGATTAATCGTTAACTGTACAAATGGAAAAAAGCTGATTTGCTGGCAGAACACGGTCAGAGGAGTACTTAAGCCAAACATGTATAAAAATATATAAAATTAGCATTTTGTCTGAAAATGTTTTTGTCAAAATTTCTTCAGTTGTAAAGTTTTAGCTTCACTAGGTTCAGATTCACTAAAAGAATGCTAGGTTATTGCATTTCCTATTTAAAAAAGGAGTTGGATTATATGTTTATTAGTATATTTACATGTATTTATAATATAGTATAAAAAAGGGGCTAAAAGAGAAATCTTTAGAATGTAATTTTTTTCCGATTAATCGCCAGAATAGTTGATTACTAAATTAATTGTTAGCCCTTTAAATCTCAGATTTTGTGACATTTTGTGAGCATAAGACTGAAACGCCTGACGGAGTGTCTGGTTTCTGCCTTTCTGTGCTTCATGAGCAGCGAGTGACTCAAACGGCCCTCAGGCAGGAGCTGCATGTTAGTCAGTTGACTGGACGGCTAATTCTTCACACTGCGTAGCTCCACATCTGCTTACAACAATCACCGTTTCCAGCATCGGGATTATAATGATCCTGCAGTTCGGCTTTAAAAGTGGGAACCGTCGCGTGTTTACTCAGCTCGGTACATTGGGTCAGAGCGTCCCTCCCCGCCTTGGATCTGCGCTCCCCTCCACCCCGGGCTCTGGCATTCCAGCTCCTGACCCCACACTGACAGCTGACTTCCTCATGCCTGCCCTCTGTTTATCTCACTGCTCTGTTTATCGCTCCTCATCCACACCCGCTCTGCCTGGAGACCCGGCCGCTCCGGCCGGCCGGGCGGCAGCAGAGGGAAAAATCCACGAGGTTGGGTTTCCAGACAACTTCAGACCCAACACGAGTCAAAACATGAACAAGTGAAAAGATCCACAGGCGCATCGAAATAAATCAGAACACCGTCAGAACGTTTGTTCCTTTTGTTTTAGCTAGCTGTATGTAGCACAATGCAAAGTGTTTCTTGGTCTAATTTCTACTGCAAATATCTTGTAAAGTAAAACAAAACCAACTTTTCAGCACAAAATAGGAGCTTGTTGTCAGTCAACAATTCCTAATGAATAAAAACAGTACTAGTTCTGTACTAGTAACTTTTGTATTGAAAATCTTTCTAAAAACCAAATAATCTGTCAGTGCAATTAGAACTCGGTTGCTAGGAAACGGGCTGTGCTTGGCTGCTGTTGCTAGGTAACGGGCTGTGCTTGGCTGCCGTTGCTAGGTAACGGGCTGTGCTTGGCTGCCGTTGCTAGGTAACGGCGCAGGGCCCATTAACTGTGAAATAAGTGAAATAATCTGCCGGGGAAACCATTTTTAAGGAATTATTGACTTAAAATCAGCTTCTATATCTTCCTGAAATGTTATTTTTGTCTCATTTCATATTTGCACAAAAAACGCGACCAAAAACTCTTTGAAATTGTTGTTTCTTTTGCAGGTGTATTGATGGTAGTTGAGTGGAAGGAAGAAGTGTGGTAGAAGAATTGTAACAGGGATTCGAAGTCTGTTCCACTAAAGTTGTACTTGTGGATTTATAATAAATAAGTCTTGTAATAAATAAAAACATAAATGTAAAACAAAAAAAATCCTTGTTCATTGAAAATAAGTCATTTGGGATATTGATAAATCACGCATAAATCACCTTTTCAAAGTAGCTTCTTGGCAAAACAAGCTTTCAATCCCTGCTGGATGTGTACCTTTTGACCAAAGTTTTTCCTTTCACTCAACTTTCAATTAATATAGTTGGATGCTGTTAGTTTCTCTGGAATCAACCTTTAATTATTTATTTATGGCAATTTTCTGTATTGAAATCCATTCCATTTATTTTTATCCTGTCTTTGTGAGTCTATTTGGTTCAAGATTTTTCAAAAAGCTTTTCTTGCCTTTTATTTTGCTGCAGTTGCACAGAAATTGTGGAGACAATAATTATCCCAATATCTTTGCTAGCAAAGAAAATATTTAAAAATTTGTGGAAAATATTTTTCAAAAATGAAACTCTGAGAAATTTCTCGATCAAAAAATATTTTTGAGTCATAACATAAAATTTATGCAGTTCCATATATTTTCAAATTAATTTGTGAATTTAAAAAAAAAATCTTAAAATTTTTTCTAATTTAAATTTTTGGAACATATTCTTTGCTTGTGACAACATTGGAACTAATTTCCCTCCATAAATGACAGAAATAAATAAACTTCTTATGTTTTCTTGGTTTATAGACGGTAATGAATGCTGCGACGTGATTGGCCAATAATGTAATCCAACAGAACGGTTAAGCGAATCACATGCATCTGGACGTTTCAACATTTTCCAACATCTGCAGCTTTAAGAGCTGCTTACACTGCAAAAACACAAAATCTTATCGAGGATTTTTAGTCCAATTTCCAAATGTTTTAGTACAACTGAAATAAAGCAAAACTAAAGCAGGAGCTTGTTTTAGAGTATGTAACTTTTACAAAAATGTTTTTTTTAATTTCAATCAGAGCTAGGAGGCTGGTCTTAACGCTGTCAATCAATTTCGTGTACACACTGCTAAATGTTTTATTAGCACTGTCATAGAAAACTGTTTGTTGTGAGTGCTAACTAGCTTTAGCACTAACTGCTAGCTGCAGTGATTGACAGCGGTAAGACCCGCCTCCTGGCTCTGATTGGTTGTTTCTAGAAGCACTAGGAGACGGAGAAGGAACTAATAAAAAAAAAAAAGATGATCTGTCTTACATTACGGCAAAATGATAATGTTACGTAAAAACATGTTTTTCAGTCAATAAATTTAATTGAATAATGAGTACAGATTTAAAAGTAGCAGGTTTCTGTACTCATAGTGTCTGTATTGGTTCCGATATTGAAATTTTTTTTATATCGGTTATTGATTACACTTCCTGATCCATAAGGGCAGATCTATTCGGTCTATTTCTATGCTTTACTATTCATTTTACATTATATTTCTAATTGTTCTTTATGAACCGTTTGAAAGAATCTGTCAGTTTATTTTCAACGTTTGACCAAAGTAGTCAACCTGAATTTCTTTATATTTTATTTTCCATTGGCTGTTCTGCTCCTAACTGCACTGACTGAACAAAAATAAAATATTTTTACATGTTTGACCAAGTTTCTGAAGCTACTGGTGCATTTAAGTTACCAAATAAATGTGTAATTCAGTACATTTATTATTATTATTTTGTGTTTTTGCAGTGAGCGGCCATGTTTGATGCTGAGCTATCGTCCTACCTTTAGAGGAGGAGGAGCTGCCAAGACGCTTGTTTAAAGCCCGCAGGCCTTGCAGGGGAATGTCGCCGCCCTCCAGGACGCTCTTATAAACGTGTCGGTCGCATTCTGGAGCGGCGGGGTCGCCAGACGACGACCCCCCGTCCTTCTCCCCCTCGTTGTGTCCAGACTTGCTAGAGGAGCTGCGGCGCAAACGACAGAGAAAAAAGTTAATCAAACACAGCCGGGCGGCTTCCAGATTTACTTCAGAGATTTATGGAGAGAAATTTGTTCCAATATTGTTGAAGGTGAGGAGCATGTTTCAAAAAATGTAAACATTAAAAAAAAATATTTCAAAAATAAAACTAAATCAAAGTCACTTTTTGAGTGTAATTCACAATATGTTTATTAAGCTGAAAATACATTTATGCAGTTTGTTTTTTATATGTTTTATAAATTACTTCCTTTGTGAGTTTTATTGTAGCTAATTTTTAAATAGTTTTTAAAAAGGTATTCTTTTGGATTTTATTTAAAATTTTTTAAAAATGTTAAAACTAAAGTGAAAATAACAAAAATAGCAAAAATAACTTGCAGTTCAACATTTTCCACATTTATTTTGTTTTCTTTCTCAGATTTTATTCTTCCTAATTTATTTGTTTCTTAAATTTGAAAATTAACTTTAAAAATTAAGTTTTCAAAATTTAAAAAAAATGCATTTTTGTCACATTTTAATTTTTGAAACATGTTCCTTGGTTGCAATAATATTGGAACTAATTTCCCTCTGTAGTTTATTATCTAAAAGAAAGAAAAAGAAGCGTTAATGCTCTGTCATATGGACCTCATTAAGGGGATTCTGGGTAAATCTGTGAAATGCTTGTGGGATGTGATGTAATTAGAGCGGGAAAAAGCCCAACATGGAACCAAGCGAAGGCAGAGAGGAGATTTGGAAATGATTTCCATAAATATTGCCTCCACTTCCCTCCACGCGCTGCTCACTCTGTCCTCATTCTGCCGAAAAGCTGCGACAGAGAAGCGTTTTCAAGTCGCTGGGGCTCCATCATAGGTGGAGGGGAAAATATTCTGGCATGGCGTCTGGGCGTGCAACAGGAATTCACGTAAATGTTTCTGTGGCTGATTTACGATCAGATTTAAAATAATCTCATGAGAAGCTTCTAGTAAAAGCAAACGCCAAGCGGCGCATGTTCTGCGCTTCCATGCTGCACATCCCTGCATCTCTCCAGTTTACAACCTTTGCTGATCACTTTTCATTAAACATTACGATAAAAAATGTCAGATTTGTTACGTTTTTGCTCTTTTATCAAATCTAAACATTTAAGATCAATCAACACTTCAAAAAAACAAAACTTTACCAAGTAATATTTGGTCTAGTTTCTATATTATGACAATTTGAAAAAGACAAAACTATTTTATAAGTAAATCTTCAGCAGGAAAATAAAATTTGTTTTGTCTTATTAAGAAACTAGATAAAACTACTATTGTGTTTTTGCAGTGCACTGTAAGCTGTGTAGGAAGTGTGATCTACTCTTCTTTGATTGTTTTAATTCAGCCACGTTCAGTGGGTTCGATCTAAAACGGCCTGTTCCATACTTTGACTAGGCCACTTCTGAACTTATTGCTGTGCTTTGGATTCTCGTCCAAAACTAAAAAAATAATATTTATTATTTCTTGAAGCGACAAAATGAGCCCAGATCATGATACTCCCACCACCATGTCGGACTGCTAGTGTGATGCTCTGTTTACACTGCAAAAAAGAGCAAAAAAAAAAATCAATATTTTCTGTTTCCTAGAACCTGTTTGACAACATGAAGCAGGCTAAAACACCTTTGCATGGAGAAAACCATTTAGTTTCTGGTTTAAATATCTAACTAGACTTCAAAAATAAGACAAAATTAACTTAAAAGTAGCTTCTCTTGTTTTAAGTCAATTATTCTTTAATGTTAATAAAACAGTAGTTTTCCAGACATTTTCTTCCACTTTTTATGAATGTTTAAGAATCATTTACTGAATACAAACTCATATATTTTGCTAAAAATGTACTTTTAAGTTAATTTTGTTTTATTTAAAGTGTACTAAGTTATTTACAGTAAAAACTAGACAAAAACATTTGTAAGATTTTGTGCTTTTATGCCAAACATGACAGTTTTTTCAGGAACCTACTTCATGTTGTCAGACAGGTTCTAGTAAACAGAACCTGTTTATTTTTGTAAACTTGTGAGAGTTTTAAATCATTTATATCTGTTCTGCTGCATCATGATGACAGAACAAACGAGTCCGGATCGCTCCAGCCTCTCAGCGCCGAGCCTTTCTGAAATGTGTCCGATCCAGCAGCCGGGTCTGAGCTCCGCTGGGGCAGGAAAACAGCAACGCAACCATAAATTTGCCCCTCAGAGGGAAGTCGGTTTATGAGCAAAGCTTTCCGCTGCAAACGTTTTGAGTGGCTGAACTTACATCGGTCTTTAATCAGGGATCGCTTCCTGTCCAGCTCTCAGGCGACAGACGTATCAATGGAACAAAACGCTGCTTTGAGGTTTATTTTAGACGCCCCCGCCCCCCGGCGCCCCCTCCTGGTGACATAATGACTGCAGCAGATGGAAAGCAGAAACGAAGGTTTATTTTCTCTAGACAGTTACCGTGCCGCGGCCACAAATTCCTGGCATTTTATTGCAGGACACAGAAATAGACGCCGTCAGTCTCCATCAAACGCAGCTTTTGATCTGCAACTAACACTTATTCCAGTTACCAATTCATCTATTGATTACTCTGATTAAATATTGATTAGTCGGATCAATAAAGGTCCAACATTCTGCAGATTTTTTTTAATTTAAGCATTTTTTTTATATGTAAATAAACTTTTTTCCCTTCTTTTGTACTCGCATGTATAAAAGAAGGGAAATTCCCCGTTTGGACTCAAACAATTTATTCCCTCTTTTTCTTCCTTAAAATGCAAAAACTCTGACAGTGACTTCTTGGATTAACAGAATACACTGCAAAAACACAAAATTTTAACAAGTATTTATGTCTTGTTGTTTTTTACACTTGAAATAAGACAAAACTAACTTAGAAGTAACTTTTCAGGAAGATATAGGAGCTTTTTTAAGAGAATAATTCTTTAATATTGATGGAAAAGCAGATTAATTTATTTCCTTTTCCATCAACATTACGGAAATTTTCACTTAAAAAAGCTCCTATATCTTCCTGAAAAGTCACTTGTAAATTAGTTTTGTCCTATTTAAAGTCTAATAAGATATTTTCACTTTAAAACTAGAGCAGCAGTGAAATATTTGGGTAGAAAAGGTGACTTGCCACTTGTGGATTTCTGGGTTAAACAGACAAAGACGGTTTTCATTTATCTTAAATGCAAAATTTGTAATTTTTTGGGTTTATTGCTGCTCTGATTGTGTGGTTCTTTCATCAGTTTGACTTTTTTGAGTCTGTTTACTCCAGTTACCGATTAATCAATCGCTAAATACGCTGATTAATCTGATTAATCGCTCATGTTTCATGATCCGGTCATTCAGCACATTCAGGCGGAGGTAACAGTTTTTAAGTTATGCAGCAGCTGGGAGAGTTCCCTTTATCCCAGTGACATCCAGGTTCCTGTCTTTAAATAAACTCCCCCCACCCCCCTCCGACAGGAGCCATATCTACAACCTGAAGGGAAAACCAACAAAATGCAGCCAGGGGACACTCTGTTCTGCTGGCTTTTTGCCTCTTTAACAGGAAACTGGTGTTCATCCCTCTCATAATCACATTAAATCTGCAAGGATGAGGCGAGATTTTAAAGCTGGAGAGCTGGGGAAAGGAAGAAGCGTTGACTTACTACTGCTGCAGGTCGGAGGCTGTTTCCAGAGGGCTGAAGGAGGGGGCACTCTGCAACAAACCAAACAAAGAAGTCATTGATAGATCCACAGGAAGATCTCCTCCCGCTGAAACACAGGCAGCAGCCTCCAGTCAGGCCAGTTTCTGCCCTCCGTTCCTCTCGGTTGGCCGTGTGTTTCTGCGTCGAGCGTTTCCGAGCGTCTGTCGGCATGGACGGGTTGGGGGGGCGAAGCGTGTGTTTTGGCCTGCATGCAAGTTGGGAGAAAACAAGCGGCAGAAAAGAGAGTGGAAGGGAAGGGAGGGCTGGGCGTGCGTCGGTCAGGGGGCGCCATGCGGGGAGGGGAGGCTGTCACGGGCTCAGCCTATAAGCTGCTGTCTCCCACTGAAGCCACTTCTTTTGTCTGACTGAGTCGCTCTCATTACCAACGGAGCAGACGGGGCAATTAACCAGCTGGTGGGGCAAGGAGGCCGAATTACACGTATCAACACGGACACAGGAGATCACCAATATGCAAAAGATATGAGGGCTGAAACGATTAATCATATAAACCACGATTAATCGATCAATGAAACAGTCGCAGGCTATTTTAGTGATCAATTAATCAATAACTGGAGCATACAAACACAAAATAGGCAAATTACCAATAGAACAACACAGTCAGAGCAGCAATCAACCCCAAACGGTACAAACTAAAAACATAGCTAACTGGGTTGAGCTGAAAAGATTAATTGGATAAATTGCAATTAATCTCATATTGAAGGAATTGACAACTAATTTAGTTGTGGATTAATCAATAACAAGAACATACAGACTCAAAAAACCTGACATATATATATATATATTTATATTGCATTAATCGTCAAATTACACTTATCAGCATGGACTCAAGAGCTTATTGGGGATTAAACAATTAATCGGTTAATCACAATTAATTGATTATTCACATCATAGTCAACTGATTTAGCAATCGACTAATCGTTAACTGGATCATACAGACTGACACAAAGGCAATTTGGAGGGAAAAATCATATTGAGAGCAGTAATTAAGTCAACATTGTACAACACACTGCAAAAATATAAAATTCTATTAAATATTATTGGTTTAATCTCTAGTAAAATATGTACAAAAACTTGAAATGAGACAAACTAAGTAATTTTTCAGCAAGAAATAGGAGTTTGTCTTAAGTCAATAATTTTTTAATATTGATGAAAAACACTGGCAGATTATTTCACTTATAATCTGGGAGAAATGTCTTGTTATAAAATAAATAATTGTTTTTAATCAATATTAACAAATTATTGACTCAAAACAAGCTGCAATATCTTGTTGAAAATGAGACAAAACTAAGATATTTGTACTACAAACAAGACAAAAATACTTGGTAAGATGTTGTGTTTTTGCAGTGCACAGAGAAATAGTCAAACATGAAAGAAGAAATTATTTTCTGCATATTTAGGAGAATAAAGCGAGAGGAGTGACATTTAATGGAGATTAATTGGCATTATATAAAGAGAAATGAGACACATATTTTGTTGTGGGGTCACAGATGGAGCATTTTAAATGCTTTGGCGCTGAGCTAATTTTAGCCCGCTGTTTCTGCTGCTTTCCTCTTTTTGGACGTCACAGCAGGTAAAAATAACCAGGCTCTATGAATAAGAGCACAAGTGTTGTTTGCAAATATGATTGCACAATCGCCCCCCACCTCTTGTCTCTCCCATTCCCACCATCCCAGGGTTGCCAGTTTGGGCAAGTTTCCTCCCAGTAAAACTGCTTTTAAAAACAGTTTTATAAAGCTGCACAAAACATTTAATAAAATGCTGCGTTATTGCACTTATTAGTTAATTTATTTTGAAAATTTGAATGTCTCAACATTAATTATTGGTCAATGGTCAATGAAATGTCACTAAGTTGTAGCAGGGCCGGTCCAAGCCTTTTTAGGGCCTTGAGCAGAACTTAATTTGTGGCCCTGATATCAACATGTAAACACCAGATGCTTCATCATTTCAAAGCTTTTTGTTGTTTATTAGCGTTGTTTGTAATTACATCATACCAGTGTTGTTTGTAAACTTAAAGGAGAAACAAACAAAAAATGATTTAGAATTGGAAATGCTGTGGGGTTTTTGAGTGTGTAATATCATTTAACTATTTGAAAGTAAATCAACTATAAAAAATAAAACACTAAATTGACAGTAAACAAGTTAGATTTTATATTTGACGATTTTTTTAGTGTAACAACTAAAAATATAATAAAAATAATTCTTCCATTGTCTATTGATGTAGACAATTATTTATATACAGTATGAATAATTTCACAATATAAAATATTTCTATCATTTATATACTGAGGTTGGAAGTTGTGTCTGAAAAATATGTTTCATATCAGTCGATATCAATAATTGTCCATATAAACGATTATTGATTAGTTTTCATTGTTGTTTAAATATGTGAAATATTACCAAACTGGTGTCATGACTTTCCTGTTTATTTTCAGCAGTTATGAGGCAAAGTGGTGAAACTGTAAACCGCTGCTGCGCCAGTTATTCCACAGGCTGTTGCTAGGTAACCGAGGAGTGTGGGTGTTGCCAGGTAACCAAAGAGTGAGTCAGTTAGATGGTTTCACCAACCCAGTTTAATGTCAGTGAATTTTAAATATTCTCAGATGTATCGCTGATCACGAGTCTATCACATATGATTCATTTATTGTCCAGGCCCAGTATGTATTTTTGTAACTGCATCTGCTGCTGTCAACATGAATTGAGAGCAGCAGGTTGAGATTTGGGTGGGTTTTTCTGTGGGAGTTGGGTGGATTTAACATCGTTTTTGGCTGGAAATTGCCAGTCAGACATGGCAACCCGGCCCCAAGCCTCCCTGGCAGCCCTGCAGCGCGGCCGAGCCTCCACTTCCCACACCAATGACCAGACAGGGAACATTCTGCGCTGCTCATTTGCCACAACATGCCTCTGCGCCTCGTTGCCGGGGCAGATGATCATTAATAACCTCGGAGAATAAGAGCCTTTCTTTGTAGGAGCCGAACACCAGGCTGGCAGGTCTACAGTCACGTCTATTTATAAAGCTAAATGTTCCATGGCGACTTGGAGAATACACCGAGGGGTCACCGATTAATCTCCCACGTCTTCCCCCCCACCGCTCTCATCAGGGGGAATAAGAGCGCGTCCTCTGACACTCCCGCTTATTGGGCTCACACACAAACAGCGTCAGTGGAAAGTAAACAGGAAACAATTATGGAGGGCTTATCTGCAGTGAAGGACTGGAATCTTAATCTGGTTATTTACAAGATGACTGATTAGTGTCAGTTTATGAGGACGTTTCCTCGTCCAACGGGGGGAAAACGGATCAGTTTCAGACTAACCCGGCCGTGTTATCACAGCGTCGTGTTACTCTGGGACGTCCCGGGAAAAGACACAGCGCTGCAAATGGGAGATAATGGTTGGTGACACTAGACACATCCTGCTGGGATGGAAACTGCTCTGTTTGCCGTTTCATCCCATCCTGCTTCCATTTTCTGCCCAAATCATCTGATCGCTGCTGGTGCTTCAAACAAACAGAGACATAAACAATCAGATGATGCATGAAATGCCCCTCGTCATCTAATGGTGTTTTATTTTCTGAGGGTTTTATGGAAAACACTATTTTTGGTCTAGCTTCTAGTGCAAATATCTTTAAAACAAAACTAACAAGTAGCTGTCCAGTAAGATATTCAAGCTTGTTTTAAATTTTAATCCTCAAAAAAAAAATGTTTCTCTGCTAGATTATTTCATAATATAGAAAAATGTCTTATCAGTGAAATAATTGGCCAATGAAACTAGAACGTTTTCATCATTACTAAGGAATTACTGACTCAAAAAAGTTTGTTTTGTCTTATTTCAAGTGAACCAAGATATTTCCACTAAAACCTGGACAAAAATACGTGGTAGCATGTTATGTTTTTACAGTGCAGAGAGCAGAAAGCAACTAATGTGAGAAAACGTCCAGATCTGTTCATGGTTTATGTGTCTTTCAAAAAACAAGACTTTACTATCCCAAACGCAGCAGAAATCTCAAAACAGAAGTTTCTGACAGTTTATTGAACATTTTAAATGAAAAATAATCTATTAATCCCAAAGGAAGAGAAATTAAATAAACTCCTATGGGATTTCTGACTTCAGTTGCTTGGTTACGCATCAATAATAGTGGCAAAAATTAGAACAGCTACAGCATCCGAAACAACATTTGAAAAAAGGTTGTTTATTTTTTACTCCAGAAAAAACGAGAAATTAAATTTTCATTGCTTGAAATGACTGATTTTCAGAGAATCTACGCTCGGAAATGAGCTGAACAACCAGAACCTGGATCAGTTTTCAGACAAACCTGCAAACTGAGTATCTAAGGAACACAGGCGACAACAATTCATCAGAACCGCCGCGTTCCCTGACAGCTGCCCCGCGGCTCAGACGGCACTCTGCTGCTTTCGCAGTCAAAATAGAGCGGGCCGCTGTAACACGAAGCCCATTCTTTCCAGAACCCTATTCGTGTTGGTGTGTTCTTATGAACACAAACACGCCGGCCCGGTGTGAGGGCAGCTCATCCTAAATGCTTAAAGGTAAAGGTTAAGTGTGTAACAGAGGTTAAATGTGAGCGCACAATGAGCTGGCAGGCTCTTGGCGTCGCCCCGTTTAGAGGACATCAGGCGGCGGCGCTGAGACTGGCTGGCAGCGGGCCTGACGTCAGCGTCCGCGCCGCGGATGGAGTCGCCGTGTCGCTAGCAGGGGGCCACAGTGATCTTCCTGAGCATTGATACGTGTGGAACTCCGGCTCCAGCTGGCTATGTATATCGATGACCCACCGCTTGACTGGAGCCGTCACTGCATGTATTTTCAGACGCAGCTTTAAGCCCCCCTGTGTCATTAAAGAGGACCATCAGCAGCAACCTGCAGCGCTCTCCACAAGCACTGACAACAAATTATTCTTTTCCTAAAAGAACTGAGAGGATTCCAGTCTTCATGTTCAACTGTGAACTTCTTGAAGTCGATCAAAATGCCAAGAAGCTTTTAACTAATAAAAAGTTATTTTGCAAAAAATGTTAGATTTTGCAAAACGTTACTTGAAATTGCCTCAACTTGGGTTGAGTTCCGCGGACAAAAGGTGCACCGATTACAGGTTTCTGGACGATAACTGATCTATTACGCAAAATTCAAATTTTGCACATTTTTATGCTCCCACTTGGCTTTCAACTGCCTGTGAAAACACCCAACCATTTTTTGGCAATAAATTCATGTTTTTTTGGTGTCTGGAAAATGAGCCGTTTCAAAAACCTTCAGAATGTAATGTCACCTGGCAACCCAAGCTGAGTTCCAGCACATTTGATCAGCCAATTCTTTTTTGCTCTGTGGGCTGCACAATGGCTGCTGGAAAAGACAAGTGTTTCATTGTTCACTTGCCATTCAGAAACCACTTGCTGCATCCTTGATGGTTGTATAATTTCACATCTGTTTGGAAGTGTAAACATTGAGTCAGAGAGTTTTTGAAATGACTCATTTTCCAGACACCAGAAAACCACCCAATCGTTCTCCTCCACTTCCATCCTGAGCTAGTCCCGTCTGAATGCACCACTCCCAACCCAAAACAACCAATCAGAGCCAGGAGTCGGCTCTTAGGGCTGTCAATCATTCTTATGTACTCGCTGCTAAATAGGCTAGCGGCAGAGCAACAACTTACAGTTATGGAAAAACCATTTATCCCCCGTCATCAGTGCCCATGCTAACTATCCTTAGCACTCACTGCTAGCCGCACTGTAGCAGAGAGTGGATTGACAACGCTAAGACCCGCCTCCTGGCCCTGATTGGTTGTTTCTAGTTAGCAATGGGAGCACTGGGAGAAGGCAGAAGAGATACATTATCTGTCTCATACCGTCATTACATGGTGACGGTTTCAATAAATATGTAAAAAAAGATACATAACTTACATAGTGCAGCTTTAACTCGAGGGTGTTTTCAGTGTGTGGCATCATCAGCTCTTCATGATACCAGACCGTTTTAAATAAACAGTCAGGAAACAGAAAATGAGTCATCAACCAGCTCAACACACAAATGATTCAGCAGATATAAAAATGCATCTCCTTCTCCTTCGCTAATACCAAACGACTCCTGATTTGTCAATCAAGCCGCAATGAGCCATGGTGTCTGGCTGGCCTTAAGGTCAAATGCTGCACATACCAGGTGCAGCTTTAGAAGTGGCTTTAACATTAAACAGGAGCCAGTTATCAAGCTCAGCTCACTGGCACCTGTCCAGACAGAAACCGAGTCCGGCAGCTGCCACCAGGACTGAGCCTCCTGGACCTCCTGCTAACCTCAGACTGCAGCGTCTGGACGGCGCAGGAACACGAAGCCGGTGGTGCCGCCTCACCGGATCCGGGGCGGGTTGGGAAATCAACATCTGTTTCTAGGCAGCAAGGACCACTTCTGTCCTGAGGCTTGCATGTGTCACAGCTCTGATTCAGACCTGTGCATCCCGGATATTTTGGTAAATATAACAGGCGCGGATTAGCCTGCAGCCTGTTGCTTGTTGGGAGAACAACCAGAGAGAAGAGACTTCTGGGTGAATCATCTGATCCAGATCTCATGCTCAGAAAACACCGCAGGCCAAGAGACGAGGAGCAAAATCCCAGTTTCACAAAGAAATTATTGGTGTAACTGAATAAACATGAATACTGTGCAAGAGTCACTTAACGAAATGTGGTTTTACTACAACAGCACAGTAACTAGAAAAACATTTTTAAAAAAGATTTATTTTAGGAGTAATTTTGGTTTTGCTTCAGTAATTTCATTTTGAAGCATCGCTACTATTGATTAAATGTTTTGGATCTTCTACCCTCTGTGAGCACAACTGTCTTAAAACATTCACCAGAGACACAGCTATAGTTTTTATTAAAGTTTCACAAATTTTATACTGAAAGAAACTGATTTGGAAAAATGTTTCTTTCGTCTGATCTTGTTGTGTATATGAATTATTATCATTTTGATCTTTTAAAAAAACAAAATTTCCACATAATGTTACAGTTTGGCCTGTTTCATGATGCAAGTTTTACATATCAAATTGTGTTTTGATCAGTTTCTCAGTACTTGACTTTTTCCAAACACTTTACTCATACTTGAGTAATTTCTTGAATGGCTACTTTTTATTTCTACTTGAGTAAAAATATGTTGTAATTTATCTACAATGGCCGAAATACGCTGCCGTAGTTTATCCATAAACTTGCTTTGACATAATTCCCAATCAACACAGTTTTCTGTTTTAACAACTCTATATTATAATACGCAATTTAAAAGTAATTTATCTTTATTTATTTCAGTCCCACAAATGAGCCTCTTCCCTCCATGTTTAATTTGTAACAGGAAGTCATAGTTGTTTTGAGGCAATCTGATTGGCTAACATGTAATACCATTGTGCTACACTGCCCTCTACAGGCAAGTCATATTTAAAACGGATTTTTTTTTGCTAGGCTACGTTAGCGGAATCAACTAACTCACTCACTTTCTGGTTACCTAGCAACTCGCCCATTCTTTGGTTACCGAGCAACAATCTGTAGAGGAACCTGCGCAGCAGCAGTTTTAGGTTTTGCCACATAACTGCTTAACAATAAACAGAAAGGCCGCTCCACCAGTTTGATAGTTCAGACATTTAAAAATACAAAATTATTAATAATTGTTGATATTGATTGATATGAAACGCTTATGTCGTCCAGCTCTAATGAAAGTTTTTTTAAACCCAAGTAGACGATGTTATTTTTTTAACGATGTGGTGAGGATATATGTATATATGTTTTTTTACATATCTGTGTACAAAACCTAACAGTGCAGGTAACTGAAAGTTCAATAAAACAATAAATGTTATGTCTGGTAATCAGTATTTAGCCTCAATGATCCATGCGATCAGACTCTCAGAGGATCACAGTGCGGGTGGGAGAGGAAACAAGCAGACCTCACAGACAGTTTGTTTAGACGTTCAACATGGATGTTACACGACATGCAGTACATGACGATATGCTGCCGTTGGGAGAACAGGGACCACTTACCGCTTTGTCAAACTCCATCTCTGAAAAGAATTTATACCAAGGCTCATTCTCTAAATCTACATCTTCTGGACTTACATCCTGAGTAAAGGGGCATGGCGACAGAGGAGAAAGACAAAGAGAAGACAGTTCAGACACCACAGCTTATGCACACCAAGGCAAAGAGCCAATCAATGAAAGCAGATGTGATTTATGAAATGACTCCTGAAATAGTTTGATATTTTCAATAAAATGCTGTTTTAGTTCCCTGCGGAAAGTGATGCAGCAGCAGCTGATAGACGTCACAAAGCAGAAAGACTTGAAAACAGGAACCAGGAGAAACCAAATCCGTCTCTTACTCTAATTAGTTTGTGACATCCGATCTGCCATCTTCACACCACAACTGTCCAGCCTGGAAGTTTTGCTTTCATGTCGACGACAACATGAAGAAATTCAGGGGTTTTCAGACCTTCTGCTGCTGCTTTTGCTTCATATTTCATTGGGTGTGAAGCTGATATCTCGGATCAAACCCTGAAATAAAATCCTGGTTTTGATGCTGCATAAATGAAAGGACATTTGCATAAAGTGCCAAGCAGAAAATATTCATATGAAATTAAAACCATAAACTTTAATGTAGGTTTTGGGTAATTTTATGAGGTAGACCAGAGGTCCTAACTCGCTCTTTGGTTACCTAGCAACTCACTCACTCGCTCTCTTTTGAGTTGCCTAGCAACCATAAAACTATTGAGTAACTTGCGCAGGAGCAGTTTCAGGTTTTAGGTTTCAGGTTTTAGGTTTCAGGTTTTAGGTTTCAGGTTTTAGGTTTCAGGTTTTAGGTTTCAGGTTTTAGGTTTCAGGTTTTAGGTTTCAGGTTTTAGGTTTCAGGTTTCAGGTTTAGGTTTCAGGTTTTAGGTTTTAGGTTTCAGGTTTTAGGTTTTAGGTTTTAGGTTTCAGGTTTCAGGTTTAAGTTTTAGGTTTCAGGTTTCAGGTTTTAGGTTTCAGGTTTCAGGTTTCAGGTTTAGGTTTCAGGTTTTAGGTTTAGGTTTCAGGTTTCAGGTTTCAGGTTTCAGGTTTTAGGTTTTAGGTTTTAGGTTTCAGGTTTCAGGTTTTAGGTTTTAGGTTTCAGGTTTCAGGTTTTAGGTTTCAGGTTTCAGGTTTTAGGTTTCAGGTTTTAGGTTTCAGGTTTCAGGTTTCAGGTTTTAGGTTTCAGGTTTCAGGTTTCAGGTTTTAGGTTTCAGGTTTCAGGTTTCAGGTTTTAGGTTTTAGGTTTCAGGTTTTAGGTTTCAGGTTTCAGGTTTCAGGTTTCAGGTTTTAGGTTTCAGGTTTCAGGTTTTAGGTTTCAGGTTTCAGGTTTTAGGTTTCAGGTTTCAGGTTTCAGGTTTTAGGTTTCAGGTTTCAGGTTTTAGGTTTCAGGTTTAGGTTTTAGGTTTTAGGTTTCAGGTTTCAGGTTTCAGGTTTCAGGTTTTAGGTTTCAGGTTTCAGGTTTTAGGTTTCAGGTTTTAGGTTTCAGGTTTCAGGTTTCAGGTTTTAGGTTTCAGGTTTCAGGTTTCAGGTTTCAGGTTTCAGGTTTTAGGTTTCAGGTTTCAGGTTTCAGGTTTTAGGTTTCAGGTTTTAGGTTTCAGGTTTCAGGTTTAGGTTTCAGGTTTCAGGTTTCAGGTTTTAGGTTTCAGGTTTCAGGTTTCAGGTTTTAGGTTTCAGGTTTCAGGTTTTAGGTTTAGGTTTCAGGTTTCAGGTTTCAGGTTTCAGGTTTTAGGTTTCAGGTTTTAGGTTTCAGGTTTTAGGTTTCAGGTTTCAGGTTTCAGGTTTTAGGTTTCAGGTTTCAGGTTTTAGGTTTTAGGTTTCAGGTTTTAGGTTTCAGGTTTTAGGTTTCAGGTTTCAGGTTTTAGGTTTCAGGTTTCAGGTTTCAGGTTTCAGGTTTTAGGTTTCAGGTTTCAGGTTTCAGGTTTTAGGTTTCAGGTTTTAGGTTTCAGGTTTAGGTTTCAGGTTTCAGGTTTCAGGTTTCAGGTTTTAGGTTTCAGGTTTCAGGTTTTAGGTTTTAGGTTTTAGGTTTCAGGTTTTAGGTTTCAGGTTTTAGGTTTCAGGTTTTAGGTTTTAGGTTTCAGGTTTTAGGTTTCAGGTTTCAGGTTTCAGGTTTTAGGTTTCAGGTTTCAGGTTTCAGGTTTTAGGTTTTAGGTTTCAGGTTTAGGTTTTAGGTTTCAGGTTTCAGGTTTTAGGTTTTAGGTTTCAGGTTTTAGGTTTCAGGTTTTAGGTTTTAGGTTTCAGGTTTCAGGTTTCAGGTTTTAGGTTTCAGGTTTCAGGTTTAGGTTTTAGGTTTTAGGTTTTAGGTTTCAGGTTTCAGGTTTTAGGTTTCAGGTTTCAGGTTTTAGGTTTCAGGTTTTAGGTTTCAGGTTTTAGGTTTCAGGTTTCAGGTTTTAGGTTTCAGGTTTTAGGTTTTAGGTTTTAGGTTTCAGGTTTTCAGGTTTCAGGTTTCAGGTTTCAGGTTTCAGGTTACAGATACATAAAACAAAAAATTAATCAATAATTATTGATGTCGACTGTCCTGCCCTAAATAGTATGCAGTGTTTTACAATAAACGAGGCTTGAAACTACATAAAACATTTTTACTTCCTACAGACTTGATGGAAATGATTCACAGCTTCTTCATGTCATGTTTTTATTTTAAACATAAGTTGACGGCCTGATAAAGTCACAGCTATGAACATATTGATCAGGTTGACATAATGATCAGATTTTTCTCACCGAATGTTTCCGTTTCAGACTGAAATATGTGACTTTGGATTCATGTTAATTTGTATTTCAAGACATAAATTTGAATAAAACAAGTAATTTAAATCTGCTTAGTTAATCAGAAGTCTCACAGCAGTACTTCCACAATATGAAGTGAAGTATTGAAGAGGTATCAATTACCTTATTTATACTTTATATGTACAGTTATGCATTACTGTATCTCAGATAAAATCCCACTGAAATACACTGAAGTTTGTGGTTTTACCGAAAGAAAGAATGAAACTCTCTGCAAGGCTCTCTGTGGGTTTAAAGACACAGAGTAAAATCAGTGAACCAAACATGAAGAATGAATGACTGCGTTCATTATTTTACTTGTGAACTGGAGCGAACTGCATTGGGCCAAATGGTTGGCACTGGGATCGGGCCAGATCCAAAATGACAAGAATTATAATTATCTGAGTGGAAAATGATTACATAAAGACGACAAGACGAAATATTTAATTCACCGCAGACAATGTGAACGTAAAAAGGTTTTTAATTTAACATTATTATAGATGTTAGTTTGTCAAAACGGCTTTATTTATTCTTCAATCTCATTTTGTTTAGTCAAAAGTCTTTTTTTCTTCTGACATCTTATTGTAACATAAGTTACAATAAGATGCTCTTGGCAGTTGGCTCCGAATTCGAGTCTGAACATTTATTTCAGACAAATGAACAGATACAAATAAACATGTGCAATTACTTCATGTTTTAGAATAAAATGGAATATACTTTAAGCAAAAATTGCATTGCTGACAGGGTTCTCCATCCAAAGTGTTAAATATTAGTTAAAAACAAATATACAGATTGTATAAAATATGTACATAAGTGTGATATCTTAAGTAACTAAAATCTGACAAAATATCACACAAATGGGTAACATACAAAGTAGCATGCACATGAACAATTTTAATTCATAAATAAATCTATAGACAGGTTGCATGTTATGGTTTACATCCAGGAAGCAGGGGACCGTCCGTCGAATGAAACCTGGAGCTGTTACTAATTTAACGCTGAAAAACTGTTGAAGAACAACTCAAAGCAACTCGTATTCCTTTTTTTCTCGCTCTCTGTATCAACGGGGCTGCACGCTAACTCGTTGCCATAACAACTGACTGACAACAGCGCCACTAATGTATCAGCAAAAAACACAGAAAAACACCCAAACATTTACCACACATAACATTCAGTCCATTGCAGTGCTGTGGTTTTAGGCTTGACGTTTATTTGTGTTTATGATTTAGTGATCGCTGCAGGAGATTAGCTACTGCTGCTATCAGCTACTGCTGCTATTAGCTACTGCTGCTATTAGCTATTGCTGCTAGTAGCTACTGCTGCTATTAGCTAAGCTAACACAGTGGTGGTTTAATAGCTAATCTAGTCTAACCTACTCAACTGGTGATGTGTCAGAGTCTCTGTGTGGGTCTCCTTGGTTTTATTTTCCAACTAAACCAAAACAGAGTCAAGCCAGGACAACTTCCGTCTCCCTCGCTACTTTTCTTTAACTGAAACATTTTCAATAACTTTGAAGAATCTGAATTAATGAGCTACAAAAACATTTAGTTTCCCTTTGGGACTAATACATTTGAATTTGTATTTATCCAGAGTGTTGCTAGCAAAGCGCTGCATCCCTGTTTCTTGAACATGTGGATTTGAGATTTCACGTTGACAACTTGACAGCTAAAACCAACGGTTAGCCATAGCGACTGGCAGCTTTTTGTGACGTCATGCTGCAACGTGTCTGTTATGTTTTCTACTGTTGGAGTTAAAGCTTTTGCAACTGTTAACTGTTCAGTGTTGATTGGTAGTAGGAACTGTTTAGGTTTATTTATTTATTATATTGTTTTTGTCATTTAGAGCAGAAGCTGCTGGATTGATGTTAACTTGATCTTTGTCTTTGTAGGTTTTATTTATTTTTCATACAAAGTAATGCTCCAGTTATTAAATGTGTGATAGTTTTGAATGTTATATGTGCAATTTTATTTCCTGTACTAAAAAAACACATATTTATGTTAAAGACACGATTAATTATGCGGATTAATGCAATCACAGTCTGTTGCCGTCGGTGACTGTGATGTTAACTGTGATGTAACTTGATTTGTTTTTCTCTCTTGTGATAAATGCAGTAAACCTGAGAGTGGCTAACCGTTAGCAGTGAAGCAGCTCAGATGCAGAGGTGGCGGAGGGAGATGATGAAGATGATGGAGGGGAGGATGCAGCTCAGACGACACACACACACACACACACACACACACACACACACACACACACACACACACACACACACACACACACACACACACACACACACACACACACACACAGAGTGTGTGTTACCGTTCTCTCCAGCTTCAGGACGGATGATTTCCCCGGCTCGTAGTCGAAGATGCTCCTGGGCTCGGCACGGTACTTCCTGGTGTCCACCTTCTTATCCGGCGGTTCCCACTCGCTCCTGCGGAGGAAGGACAGTCAGCGAGAAAGAGACACCCAGAACCAATCCTGATCCGGTGGTCTCCATGGCAACTGGCGCGGGCTGAGACGATTTCTCATAAAAAAAAAAAAACGTGACGTTTCAACGCGCCTGCCTCCTCCCTCCAACGACGACACGGCAGAAAATCCAATCTGGGCAGTGATTGGATTACGGAGGCGAAGCCAGACCCGGTGAGAGAAAACAGAACATTAAATCAGGAATATACGGAAGCAGGACACTGACAAAACAAAGAGAACCACCAACTTAATCTCAGGATTCTGGCTTAAATTTCACAAATCTGATTTTAATCTAAGAATTCTGACCTTTTTCTCAGAATTCTTATCTAAATTGAAATTTTCACTTTCATCTTTGTATTCTGATTTTTTTCTGACAACATTAGAACTCTAACAATTTTGATCTATTTCTTTGAATTCCAATATTAATCTCAGAATTCTGACCTTTTTCTCAGAATTTCAACCTTAAGTTTATAAATCTGACTTTTTCTTTGAATTTGGAGATTTAATCTTAGAATTGTGACTGCAATTTTAGAATTTTGATTTCACTCTCAGAATTCTGATTTTAACTTTCAAATTTTGCCTTAAATTTTAAAACTTTAATTTCAGATTTCTGACTTGTCTTCTCAAAATTTTGGTCTTTTACCCCAAAACCAAATCTTGTTGTGGTTTTTGGATCACCTTGAATCCAACTTTCCACCATCTGAGCCATTTTCTCTCTGAAGTGACTGAAAACTGGCCAGGATGATCAGAACCAGCCCAGGAACCAGCAGAAAACTGGAAGTGACTGAACAACAGCAGAATCTAGCGGTTCTAGTGGATCTACTTCCTGTCTGGTACCAGACCTTTTGGCAGACGGCTTGAGAGACGAGGACCGAGTTGGAACCGGCATCAGTCTCCCTCTGGAGTCCACCAGGTCGTCGCTTTTAGAGCGTGGAACAGTTCTTTCTGAAAAACAAACCAAACTCAACATGATTCTCTGAACAGTTCTTCCTGAAAAACAAACCAAACTGAACACATTCTTTGTCACTTCAGGCAGGTGTTCAGAAAACTCACCATCTTCCAGGTAAACATACGGGGTGGGACCGTCGTCTGAAAAAGAAGAAGAATAAAGGAGAAATAAATGGAATGTTAGGTTGCTTTTGATAAAACATTTAAATTTGGTCCCATATTCATATTTTCTCTTACTGTCTCATTAGATTGGAATAACTCTACGACAAGCATCTTAATGAGATTAGAGATTTAAACTATCGTGGACACAAAGCGACAGGAAAGCCGCGGGAATGCAGACGTCTTGATTTTAAGCAAGAAATACATTTAAAATATCTAAATAATTCAAAACACATTAAGATTTTTTTAGCTTTCCATTAGGTCCAGCATCACAGGATCACCGCCTCAAAGAGCATCAAATCGAAGCTTTTTACAGGAAGCAACGCTGAAACTGCCTTTGAATTAATGATGAGGCATGAAGCTGAGGAAAAGCTTTCAGAGCTATAAAATACACACATTTTGGTCAAATATTAGTTACAGGAGGATTAACAATTCATGTCCAGACCACTTTAACATCAGACTATTTTCTCCTCGTTTAAATCTTGGTTTACTCGCTATAAATAAATATGTAAATTAACCACATTGACCTGTGATAATCTGGTGCTTCAATCTGAACACTGATAATGAAAAGTAAAGAAAATGTTCTGTGGAGCAGCAGCTCTCATCACAGGCCGGGAGCTCCACCTACTGGTCACAATCAGCATTACAACCAATGATGAACAATACTTTGAAACAATTAGTAACAAAAAGGAAAATAAGTGAAATAAGGACCAAAAGAGAAAAGGTAGGATCTGATAAGGTGACAAAAATTTCAAAGGAGTGGAGCATCCTGGCCAACATCCTATCTGTGTTAGTGCTGATAATTTAGAGCCAGTTTCAGTTAAACAATTATCTAAATATGGAAAACCTTATAAACGGTGATAAATGTTTAACTGGAGCTTCAGAGGGAAACGTCATCATGACTGCAATCGTTTAAACAACTCAATGTGATTTTTCTTGTATTATTTCCAATCGTTTTGCGAGTTTATTGGAGTTCTTAAAATATTCAGACAATCATAGGAGCAAAGTTTGGGGAATAAATGTGTTTATTTACAAAAAAAACCTTTTATATGAATGAAGTATTTAAGATTAATCACAGAAATTTTCTAGAAAAAACTAGGAAATTTTTGTGTTTCAAGACTTGAAAATTTGCTTGAAAAAAACTGAAATTTTTGGAATATTCTCAGAAATTTTTCAGAAAAAAATTTTATCTCAGAAATTTCTAGTATTTTTTCTCAAATAACTGACTTTTTTAAATTGAAAATTTCAACGTAAAAAAACTTTTTTTGTCTTTTTGCAAATGTTCAACTTTATAAACTCAGTAATTTCCAAAATTTATTTTCTTGCAAATTTGTAATTTCTTGGCAGAAATTTACTCCTCTTCTTGTATTTTCTTCTACCTACAATAACACCAATAGGCCGTCATCAAAAAATGTGAAGTTTTAACAAAAACAAAAATATAAATTTAATATGAACTTTATCTAATTCTGCAAAGAAATAATCTTGATTGTGCAGGTTTTAGGTTTGGGAAGCTCATTAAAGAGATTTTACTGATTAAAAAATGGTTCTTAAAAGAACAGTAACTGTCTGAAAACCTGGATACTTGAACAGGCCACAGAGGACGGTGAGAAAATCACAATGTTTTGAAATATTTAACAATGAAATCAAATTTGTTTTTCTTGTTAAATTAAGATATTTATTCTCATTTTGCGCTCAGGATGTCCCTCCAAACACAGGACGCTGCAGGCTGATAAGTTTTGATGAATTTAAATGAGATATTGTCATTTGGACATCGCAGTGTTGTTCATGCTGCAAAGCATCCAGGGTAGATGATGCATGCTGGGTGCTACATAGCTAGCTCCGTCCAGCCAGAACAGTAATTTCTGATCAGTGAAAAATATTCAGTCTTTTCAATTCAAACCAGAAATTGAAATACAAGTCAACACAGAAACAAGAAGCAGAAATGAAGATGATGAGGACCAAATGGAGGAAGAGGAGAAAGAAAATCTGGTGTTTGCGCGGCTGCGACTCAGGAATGCTAACGAAAAGGAGAGCAACAAGTTTTTGTTAAAGCGTTTCTGTGTTTCTGCAGGCTGGAGGAACCGGAGCTGAACACGGCTGCAGATTAGTGAAGGCCAACGAGAGCGCGGCTGCCGCCATCGGTACCTTTTGGGGTCATGCGAATGTCAAAGGTCTCGGGGAAAATGTAGGTGGGGCGGTAGGGGTTTTCCTCAAAAGGCTCTGAGTGAGACAGAGGACATGAAGGACAGGGACACCAAACTGACGACTCCGGCTCAGGAAATCGGACTTACCGGGTAATTTATGGATCTGTTTGAACATGGTCTTATACCAGTCCTTGGACTTTTCAGTGTTCTGAAATTAAAATGTGAGAAATTAGAAACAGATCATGTAGAGATTACAATCAGAGCGCACTGCAAAAACACAAATATTACCAGCTATATTCTGTAATTTCTAGTGAAAATATTATTGGACACTTGAAATAAGACAAAACTAACTTACAAGCAACTTTTCAGTTTAAGATAATAAATCCTTAATGTTGACAGAAAAAAGTACTAGTTCCATTATTTCACATATAACTAGGTCTGCCATGTAACATTTTGTGATAATAAAATGATGATATTGTTGTTTTGCGGCCATTTTCAATATTCTTAATAGCATAAGAATACATTGTCAAAGATCAATTAACTTTAAATTCTTATGAACATTTAAAGGAAGGCATTTTAAATATCAAAATAAATCAACAAACAATAGAAACAACAAATAAAACCAATTAAAACAATAAATCATGCAAATAGTTTAGAGTTAGTTTTAATTTATCATGTGATGATTTATTGCAATAAATTAAAACAAAAGTTAAAAGTGGAACTAGAACTTTTTCATCAATATGAAGGATTTATTAACTTAAAACAACCTAGTTTAAATTGAGTTTAAAGTACATATTTACACTATAAAACAGACCAAAAATGCTTGGTAAGATTGAGTGTTTTGCAGTGGAGTCATCAATAACAAAGATTAACTGGTAACCCTGATGGAAATATGTCTGTTTTCCACAGAGGAGTAAAGAAAACGTGGTTCCAGTGAACAGAGCGGTCTTTATTAGTCCATAGGGAGTAAATCTGTCTTCATCAGCCTGGCTGTGACTGCTCACCCGAACAGGCACAATGGGTTTGCTTATGGGGCCGCGGACGGGGGAGTGAGGCGCCAGCCGCAGCCTCGTCCCGTCCATGTCGGAGCCCGGACTGGCAGACTCCCTGCTGGGATCGGGGCCTTCGCCTGGGGCCGGATCTGAGAAGCACCGCAGGCCGGCGGACAGAAACAGACCAGGAGAGAAACATTCAGATCAGAGACAGTTCCAGAAACTGTTATTCCTTCTAAACTGACATTAAAAAAAATTCTGTTAATTCTGATGATTTAGGTCTAAATTCAGCCTCACCAATAAAAACTATTTTTATGTGCTTAACTGTTGCTCAGGGGTTTTTTTTGTTTGTTTTTTTATTTCTGTTATTTTTAAGCAAAGTGGCAAAACATTAAACTGCTGCTGTGCACGTTACGCAATAGGTCGTTGCTAGGCAACCAAAGGAATCTATCAAATGTTTGTGACACGTTTGTGCTGCGATTGTGTTAAAGATGTTAATAAAAAAGCTTCCAGAGGTCATCAGAGGTCAACATCTTTGAAGTAAAAGCAGCACAAATGTTTGATCTGGGAGATGTGAGTATGGGCAGCTGACCTCTGCTGACCTCTGGAAACTTTGTTTAATTGTATCTTTGAAATGATAGCAGCACAAACAAAAATTGGTACAAACGTACCACAAACATTTAACATTTTAGTTGGATTGGACTAATGTTGGGGGGTTGGGGAGGGTCTGGTTGACCTTTAACCCTTAAACTTTCATTAATATCTTCAAAGCAAAAGCAGCACAAACAAAGAAAAAATGCTGCAAACATGTAGTAAAGTTGACTGACACCAAAACTGTCTGATTTGAAGACAGATCAGAATACATGTAGATGTATATGCTAGCAAATAATTAATCAATTACTAATTTGGTGCACCAATCGCAATAAAATTGCCGCTGGTTGACCTTTTATGACCTCCAGAAGTGTTTAGTTAAACTTTAAACGTTTTGATGAAAAACGTCTGACACGTTTTGTTAGATTTGAAGAAAATGTGGGGCAACAAATATCGTTGTTATTGAGCTCAGACGTCTATTTATTCAATAATTCAGCAGCAAAAAGAGAGAATGATGCTTATTTTGGTTAATTAATTACAGAACCTGCAGTTAAACTAAATATCCAACTATAATTTGATGATTGTTGTCACAAACTGTTGCAATGAGGAGAATAAATGAAGCCTGACTGCAAAACGTTTTAAATATTTCACAGCTGTGCAGGATTCTGCATGACAGTAACTGTTACCAGAGGAGTGTGAATGAGGCACATTATGGCCGTTTATTACGGAGGACATGTGAGAAATGTTTCTGCGTTCATGTCGTCCAACATGAACGCTACAATCAGAACGGCAAAGAGGTTCTGTGTGAAAGAAACAGAACCTCTCAGTTCTGGGCTTCCACATGTCGGCACATCGCAGAAATAATCCCAAACAAACAAACCTTTTAATCTATCGATTAATCGGACAAATAATCGATTAATCGGACAAGAACAAGTGTGTGCCACAGATTCTTTATTTCATTTTTCATTTTATACAACTAATTTAGCAACGTATTTCTGAAATTGCATTAAAGGGATTAAATTGTTAAATAAAACCCTGCAGAATGCGCCAATTAATCAAATATTAATCGATTAATCGATTACTGAAGCAAACATTAGCTTCAACCCTGTGTGCATGTGTGTTAACCCGATCTGTGGGGGATTATAAAAGTCCATCATCATCATCATCATCATCATCATCATCATCATCATCATCATCATCAGACTGTACAAATGTCCTTGCTGCATTCCTCAGGCGCCTCTGACTCCAACAATTGTTAAGTAGGTGGAGAATGTGGCCGGTTTCCAGCATCACTCTGCCTCTGTCAGCTGGTTTAATTCCCAGAATGCATTCTGGCGCCAAATGTTCCCCAGGTGAGCATCCTGTCTGCTCTGCAGCCTCAAATCCAACAAACTGGCATAAACTCTGTGTCCTTTAAACCAACTCACTGAGGCTGAGGAACAAAAATTGAGGGGCTAGCTAATACCGCTGGCACACTCACAAGGAGAGAAGAAATGCTGTCTTCAGTGCACAAACATGGTGGATAAAACTGATTCTGATGTTGATGAACACATGAAACCTGATTGGTCAGTAGAGCCGTTGGATGTTTACGTCATGTTGTTCATAGATTAGCGTTTCTGATGACAGAAATTCTCCTTTTCTTCTTTTACAACAAATCAAGTTATAAATACAAATCATAGAAAAGGTTTTGCATGATGGCGTTGTAAGATTATCTCCCAGCATGCTTTGGATTTAGTAAAAGTAACTCTAAATGTTTAGTTTCTCCAAAATCAAGATGAATGTCTTGATATTTGTTTAAGATGTTTTTCTCTGAAGAAAATTTTGCTCTACAAAAAAAGCTTGCGTTGAGGTCAGGGGGCCGCACAAAATTCTTCAGAGGGACAGAAATGGCCCGCAGGCCGCACTTTGGACACCCCTGGCCTACAGTTTTTACTCGTTTCCCCTAAGAAAACAACACGTTGTCTCTGTGAGAAGATCTAAGTTTCTGCCTGATGAAAACAGTAAGAAATGTGCTGCTGAAGGCCGAGCGCATACCTTCGACGTGAGGCGGATGCTTTTGCTGCTCTGTGGCGAGAGAGAGACAAACGGTGAGAAGTGACTCAGCAGCCAAAGCTGAAGTGTGAAAGCATCAGTTTGGTTAGAGACGCAGAAGCAGAACGACAAACGTGCCTCACAAGTTGGTGGTGGCTCAGAAACTGCAGCTCCTGCTGCGGCTCACCTCTGTTGTGCTGCAGCAGGACGATGGTCGGGTTGACAGAACTGGTGCGGGGATAAACACAACCGGGAGGCGAGGGGTTAACGTGCAGAGCATCTGGAGGAGAAGCAGCTTGGTTTTCTCTTATGCTTCTGGGTGAAGAGGCCTGAAAAAACCGCAGAAAAAACAGAAATGAACAGTGTTTCCGTAAACCGAGGCGAAACGAGGTGAAGTGATCCTACCTGGCACCAGGTGTCGCTCTCAGGAGGTAACTGAGGAGCGTTGCTGCTGCCACTCTCGGCCGCTCCTGCTTTGGATCCGTCTCCATTAATCTGGTCGGTCCAGCTGCCTGAAACGAGTCCAGAAAGCTGTGAGCGCGGCAGCCGCTGCTGCAGCGGGACAAACACTGGGGGAGGCACTGAAAGGTGTGGCATGTCAGTGAACCACAGCAGATAAATACAGTGCAGCATCAGGGACATTTCACAGGAAAAAGACAAACAAACGGCCAAGATCCGCCAAAAAATATAAACATTATAGAAAAAAAAAAAACACAAACAAATTTTTAAGTTTAAAAGTGGAAAATTTGCCAGAAATAAATCAGCCAATTTTAGAAAATCTTTGGAAAAATCTTGGAAATTTCTGAAATTTTGCTCGAAAAAGCTCTAAACTTTTAAACTAATTTCAGAAATATTCTAGAAAAAAAAGGAAACATTCAGATTTTGAAAAGTAAAAAATTTCTAGAAAAACATTTTAGATTCACCCCACAAATTATCCAGAGAAAACAAGAAAATTCCCAAGCTTGAAAAGATTGAAAATTGCTAGAAACATTTTTTAAAAATAATCTCACAAATTTTCTAGAAACACATTGATGTTTCTGAGTTTGAAAAGTCAATAATTTTCTAAAGAAAACCCAAATTCTGAGATTAATCTACAGCATGAACATTTCTGAGCCTGGAAAGCGAAACACTTGCTAAAACATATAATTTCTGATTAACCTTCGTGTTTTTTCCTTTGTTGAGCTTCAAGCACAGAAAATAACCAGATTCTTCCAGAATCTCTGAACTTAGTGAGGAGAACAAAAAGCCTTTTCAGACAGATGCAAAGATCGTTTGTCCCAGTGGCCTTTTTCATCCTGCTGCGCAACAATTAAAGCGTCTCCCTGTTTCCAGTCCGGTTCTGAAGGGTTCTGAGCAACAAAAGAGCCCACAGTGGCGGCCCGGAGCGCAGCGTGGGCAGGAAGAACGCTCTCTGACATTTGCATGAAAATATGAGCAATCGGTTCAGTTTAGCGAAGCCTCTTTACAGCATGATGAAATGTCATCTTATGCACTCAGATTATTTACGCTAAATATTATTTTATGATGCAGTGAAAAAGCCCGACGTACTTGTAGCTGTGATGACATTCGGCTCGTCGTCGTCGTCGTCGATGTGGACGAGGGTCGCCCTCAGGGTCACCACGCCTTTCCCTTTGCACACTCTGCTCGGGTCCAAATCTGAAAAAGGTTCATCCCGATGAAAATGAAGCGGCTTCAGAACCGCGATTGGTTCAAGGCTGCAGGGATTTCCTGGAATAGATCCGCCTCATCAGAACCAGGCCATCACATTAAAATGCTGTGAAGCTCATTAACTCAGTTCGCTGCTGAGTCGACGCAGATGGAGGCTCAAGTAAGGACGAGCAAAACTAATGTCTGTAGGATGACCTCACACTGGAAAAACTGACAAATCCAACCTTTAATTCAGCTGCATTTATTGAGTTTGGGGGAAAATAAAGAATATTGAAGAAGTAATTAATTAATCAAAAGTGCAAATTAATCACTAATTTCAAATATGAATTGATGTCACTGTATTAGTACAATAAAGAGGGATTGTTCCTTTATTATCACTAGATCATAAAATCACAGCTTCTGTGAAACATGACCTCAGTTTGACCTCAGTTTGACTTCAGTTTGACCTCAGTTTGACCTCAGTTTGACCTCAGTTTGACCTCAGTTTGACTTCAGTTTGACCTCTGTTTGACCTGCTGTAGTGAGTTAGACTCAATAAAGATTTTTTTAAATTTAGCTAAAATTGCTAGGGGAGAAAGTTCGCTACATTTCTGTGTTAGCTTTAATGAAAGCTACATTAGCTAAGCTAACTGTGCTAATTCGGCAGCACAGTTAGCACTGCTATTTATGTTAGCGTTGCACAGAGGTGGATAGAGCACTCAAAGATTTTAACGGATTAATACTTGTACTCATATTGTTTATGAGACAGGAAAGGGCGAGAGTTAGCAGTTAGCGCTACGCTTGTGGTTTGCCTCTTGTCAACGTCTCATGTGACGTTGCAGAAGCGCGACGTCACATGAGACGCCGTTTCAGTGCTAATGGAGGAGCTAACATCTAGAGTTTTGTTATTTCTGCTCTTTGTGGTTCAGCCCAATAGAACCAAAGGAAATAAAGTCGCATCGCGTGTCGGTATTTCAGTTTATAAGGCTGCATTTTAATTAGAATATCTGAGATATGATCTATTAAAATCTCTACTATTGGTTCTCTGTTCCTAGAAGAAATTATGCTGCTTTCATCGGCATTAGAATAAAACCTCTTACTTAACCAAGTGTTGCTTTTTATACAGTCTTTTCCACAATTAGTATCTTAGTAATCAATTATTTTTACAATTAATCAGACAAATTTTTTGTCTGAAAATATGCAAATTAATCTGCATATTTTGCAGATTTTTTAATTTAGCTACTTAAATACATTAATAGATAAAAACCAAATGATTAAATGTTTTTTATAAATAAAATAAACATTTCTGTCTGAAAATAAGAATTACTTTAGTGCAGTGCTTCTCAATTATTTTCCGTTACGCCCCCCCTAGCAAGAAGAAAACTATTCGCGCCCCCACACCCCACCGTGACTATCCATCTCTGCATAACATTTTTTCCTTATTAACATTTTTTTCGCTGAAAAAACTCTAGCGGCTTATCGCCGTGATTGGGATGTAACGTATTTAAGTGACGCGCTAATTTATTTGGCTTCATGCTGTCCGCTGCGAGCATTTTTAGACACAGCAAACACACCGGTCTTTCCTCTTCTCCAACTGTAGTCACAGTGAAGCCAAGCGCTAAATACGCTTCGTCGTATTTCCTCTTCTTAGCTTTCGGTTGACTTTCTGTTGTCTCATTATCTTTGTCTCTCTCCGCTTTTCTTTTCATCCCTGTTAAAAACTTTTCATGTTGTTGAATAACGGAGGCCATAGACAGAACGCAGTCGGAGCTTTTTGTTGACGTAACACTGCTAACCAAGGCAAACTTGTTGTCTTGTAAGTCATAAAATGTTGCACTGTCGCAAACGTGACAGAAGTAACAATGAGAGCGCCACTGCCGCCTACTGTGCGCAATTACATTTTACACTAGTACGGCCAAAAAAAAGCCTGTTCCCCAGGATCACACGCCCCCCCAGGTATCGCACCGCGCCCCCCAAAGGGGGCCCGCCCCACTATTTGAGAAGCACTGCTTTAGTGAAAGCTTGATCTACATCTGCAGCTAAAAATTCTTCTAAAATCAATGTGAGAAAAGCTCAGTTTGTTCTGCTGGAATTAAAATCAAGGCAATAATATGGTCATTAAAATCTTAAATGCAAAACTAATATATTTACTACTGTTCTGAATGTGCTGTTCTTTCAGGAAATGGCCTTGATTAGAGTCTGTTTACTCCAGTTAAAGATTAATCCATCCCTAAATAACCAGAGTTTGCTAAACTCTACATGCCTACATGTGGCCAAGACAACACAGACAAGATTCTGACGTTTCAATAAAATATTCAATCATTTTTTTTACATTTCTGCACACAATATCTTCATTTTTGAATTGAATATAAATGTTTCCCGTGTTGGAAACATTTAGAGTTTGGAGAAAGTAAAGGGAAACATCACCTGCAGAGGGAATCAGATCAGGAGAACCTTTCATGGTTGTTAAAGGAGTAATCCTGACGGCGCTCACAGCTCTGGGACCCGATCCTCAACAGTCAGACAGAAATCAACAAGAAGGCCACATTTCAATTAAGAAACATCACATAACTACAGTTACAAACAGAAATCTGTATCAGGAATGGAGTCTTTAGAGAAATCAGGTGGACTTACTTCGAGTTGAGCTTCTGCTGCCCTCTGCTGGAGAGCTCTGGAAGAGAAACGGAGAAAACCAGTCAAACCATTAAAATAATGGTGCAGCTCAATTAAACAAGCTGAGCTGCATGAACATGACCACATCCCATTTATATTTCACTGCGTTTTAAAAGATTTTTATAATTTACAGCTGGAGAAAAATCCATCAAATTTAATAAAAATGGATTCTGCATCATATCCTCCGGAAACCGGAGAATAAAATCCAACATGTTGACAGAGGAGTATCCAAAAATAATACACAGGTGAGAGCAGCACTACTTCAACATATTTTCACTCAAATAAAAGTAAAAAGTAGCACAAAATTACTCAAGTAAGAGTAAAAAATTACCTAATCAGATGGACTAAAATCTAAAGTTAAGTGGAAAGTTTGGTGTTTTAAGGACCAAAATGAAAATAATTCAATTAAAAGTAGTTAAGTAAATGTAACTAGATACTCTAAAAACATTACAGGTCCATGAAAAGTTTGAGATGTTTTTTGCACTATATTTTCTTTACATGCAGATCATTTTAACAGCAGATCTTCCTCTGCGCCATCTGACAGTTAGCAGCACAAAAAAGTCTTGTTATGTTCGAATCTGTTCCTCCATGTTTACATGTGAGTCTGCAGTAGAAACAGGAACGTCGCAGTAAACATGCAGCGGAGCAGCAAACACCACAGCGTCGCTCAGAAACACGCTGCCCTCCGTTTGTGTTCGGCTGATTTAAGGCTCGCTCTCTTTCACAGCGCCAAGAAACGGGCCAGTCGAGGTGGAGACACTCAGGCATGGACACAAAACTGGGTTTTCTTCAGGAGAGCACAACTAAAAACGGACAAAATCACCTGCTCGAATTCAAAAATAATCCATATTAAAGTAAGAGAGGGCAACCTGGTAACAGAAGAGGAATGCGCAATAATATGGAAATATTAGTAGCCGTATAATAAATCAGCGGCATGGAAAGAATTTGGATGGAAAAACTTTGTTTATAATTCTTTGTCACACCTGCTCAGAAATGGAAATCCTCCTATTGCCGGAGAAAAGAATAGAAATCAAAATGAAAACCAATGTCAAGTTTTTTGCGATTGTCTAATTGTGAAAGATTCCTGCACTGCAAAAACACAAAATATTCCCAACTAATTTTGGTTGAGTTTCCGGTGAACGTTTCTCAGTTCCCTTCAAATGAGACAAACTAACTTAAAAATATTTGTTTAGCTAGAAGAAGCTTGTTAACGATCTGTATATTGCTAAATCGGCATATTATTAACCTCACATCGAGACATTTGTTTGTTTCTGCCAATGAAACTAGACCCGGGTTGCTAGGCAACGTGCCGGGCTTGGCCGGCGTTGCTAGGCAACAGCGCAGTTTTCATTAATATTAAGGAGACATTTTCTCCAAACAAGCTCAGATAACTTGCTGAAAAGCTACTTGAAAGTTAGTTTTGTTGCATTTCAAGTGTTTGTCATAGTGAACTGATTTACTTTTCTTACTGTGTGGTAAAATTTGCTTCCTTGGGAATCAATAAAGATAAAAAAAGATGCATCTGCTTCAAGCATTAACCTTTGTTGTCCCTGTGAGTGTGAGGCTGGAAACCTCCAACAGGCCTGAAAGGACCAGGGGAGAACGGGAGCAGCTCCAAAACGGCCTCCAGGGGGAAAACTCAGCCTTCACGCTGAGCCGGCCCTGAGAACTGCAGCAGAGTATTTATTTTTCCTCCCTCTAATAAAATCAACTTGCTTCCTGACCCCCAGCAGCCCAGAGAGTCGATGCACCCTGATCTCATGTCCTGCATAAATAATAAAACATTGAGAGGCATTCCTTCCTCGGCTGCATCCTCACATGAACCCAGAGAAGTCGGGTTCACAGCAGAGCGCCGTTCAACTTATGGAAGATAAAAAGACGATGACAGCTTGCAGAGTTAGCCGTATAAACACAGGGCAGCAGAGATCCCACAGGGCCTTTTTAGGAAGACGCTGGGGAGCAGAACGCCGAGCAGAACCGTCCGGCCTGGTTCTGTTCGGGACAGAACAAACAGCTGAATCCAGCCAACAGGAAGCAAAGGTCACAAAACGTAATGTCAGTATTTATAAACAGGAAAGTTCATGGTGTCAATTTGCAGGATTTTACTCATCTGTGTGGAAAAATGTCACAATAAAGGTGTAAAAGTCACAACCTTCAGAACCACTTAGGCTGTTTTCACACAGAATAACCCAGTTTGGTTAAACCGGTTCTATTTCACTCTGCACCCGATCAAACAAACCAACCAGGCCGTCACAACACATTTGGGTGGATAATAAATTGTCCCAGAGATTATTGCGATACGCGATGATATTTTTGACACCATTTTCAACTGTATAATGATAATGACACAATCATTAAAGTTTTCCCTCTCAAACACAAATAAACTTGTAATTTTGTACAGAGCACTCTGAACTTGAACTGGAAAACATTTTAAATATTCAAAATAAAACACAACAAACAAAAAGGAAATAAAAAACATAAATGATCATCAGAATGGAAGTTATAATTTTAATATATCTTGTGAAAAATTGAGTAATTGCTTATTGAAACAGGCCTGAAAAATCTGTTCCTTTCCTTGCCAGTGGAGGGCGCTACACCAAGAACCACTGAAGGAAACGACACACAAACCTTTGAAGAAGACACAGATTGCAACCTCCTTCATCACAAAATGTAAACTAAAACGGAGTAGCGTCAGATTTTAGTGGTTGGAGGATTTCTACTTTGTTTTGCTTCAGACTAGCAGGTTTGTGAAATCATCAAAGAAAGAGAAGAGCTAACGTGTTTGATAATAAAACAAGATGGATTTGTAGGAACCTTTTTTAAAATATCCAAAATAGGGAGTCACCTATAGATAAATTTGGGCTGATTTTGCGACCCGATATTAAAAACCATTTTTAGAAAACAAAATTTTAAAACCAGCTGACGGGCTCACCCAGCAACACGGGTCACTGGGGTCACTGGGGTCATTGGGGTCATTGGGGTCACCAGGGCAGTTTCTGCTGATCTGTGACGTTAATTCGGAAGGTTTTCTGAAATATCAGCTCAGTTTCAAAATATCAAAAAACATTTAAACATTCATTGCCAAAAATGTCAGATTTTCTGGTTTTAAGCATTTGGGCACTTGCTTCTGGAAACAGTGGAAACCTAAAAGCAGGAACTAAAAGTGTTCAAAATGAGAATTTTCCACAATGCATCCCCTTTAATATTGCTGTTTTAGCTGATAAACAATATTTACAGATATTCTATATATTGTATATATGTCACTAACCTACCCTTCACCACTGCTTCTCTGCAATCCTGACCAGAATAAAACTGAAAAACCTTCAGAGATTTTCTCAAACTGAGCCAGAAAATGAAACTTCTCAGTTATTTGTTGCTGAATCGAACAGATCCCGGATAATTTGCTCTGCGTCTCGTTTTCGCCATCTCAACAGAAACATCCTGCTGAAGCTTCCGGGTCCAACAGAAACGTCTTTCCAAAACAAACATCTCCCAACAGGCAGCGTCCAGCTAGCGACGTTTCCTACCTGATGAAGAGCACAGAAACGCCTCCGCCCCAGAACATCGGCTCTTCCTGGAGCTCCGGGGGGTTTTCTGTCCCGACTGGGCGGGGCCGGCCCGGTTCCGACCTTGACCCTCGCTATCTTGGAGGTTCTGTTTGTTTTTCCCGGCAGACGCGTCCAGATAGACCTGTCACCACATGCCACCTGGGAATGTGGCACCCACTCACCAACTGCAGGGCATCATCTCACCGCCATGCAGACGGCTGGACGGCCTTCTGACTCCCAGCGGACACTTCGGTGTGAGAGAAACGCCTTGCAGAGGTCAGAGGTCAGACATTGAGCTCATGTACTTTCCTTGATTGTCCTCTGAAGATAAGTTATTTCCCAATAGTTTTCACAAGATTTAATTTTCTACTGATATTCTTTAGATAACGAGTTTCGTTCCCAAAAGTTTTCTCCAGATAATTTCATCTTAACGAGGCGTGTAGACTTTTTATAAATCTCTGCAGCAACTGTCTGCACATGTAAACATACTTTATATTAGGGCTGCAACTAACAGTTATTTTAGTAATCGATTATTTCATTTATTATTCTGACAGGTAAACAATCAGATGGAGGAAAGAGCTAAAAAAAGAAACATTCCTATCAACATGTTAAAAATTTGTTTCTGTTTGAACATCAGTACAGTTATGAGGTGTTGATTATTTTTTGGTCTAACCGATTAATAATTTAATACAAAAAGGTGCATAATATGACTTTTTAAAACCAGGGGAAGCTAAAACTGTGTTTTGAGGAGTTTTCAGGGTCAGAGGTTGGAGTAGTCGTCTTGTAATCGGAGGGTTGTGGGTTCGATTCCAGCTTCCACTTGACACACGTCGAAGGGAGATTGAACAATCACTGGGAGTTGACAGTAGTTACACCAATATTTCGGTTTTCTTGTTATATTTAACAAAGTTTCAGACAAAAAAAAACTTGGAATCAGCAACTTTTGCAGTCCTGGTCTAAAACTCTGAGTTTTTAAAATGACTGGAAAATATAAGTTCAGTACATTTACCATTTCTGAGTGGAACATATTTACAGAAGTTTTTTTTTTTTATTTAATTGGAAAATGTTTATATTTTTGTACAGTTTTGGTTCATTATTTAAACAACTGGGCTGTTTTGGAGTTTGCATACTCCAGGTAATTAATCAACTACTAAATTGGTTGACGATTATTTCTGAAAATCGATTAATCGATGTGTCCCTACTTTAGATGTCTGTAGGTAAAATGCTGTCTTTTCTGAGCTCAAAGCTTCTATCAGTGTTAAACGAAGCCTCCACATTTCCGCTGTTTGCTCTGACAGCTAAACAAAGGCGATGCTGTGATGTATGTCATACGGGGATCCCTGTGTCCAGCGGCTCCCCCACACAACGGCGCTCTCATCGCACGCCGCACTGGAGAGAGGTCGTTACGTAAGCCCGTTTGACTTCTGCTTTGTCAACAAACGGCAGAGAG